CCGCTGGGCGCCTCAGACAGTGTTGGCTGCTGCCATCACCCCGCCGTTGCCACCTGCTTACCCCGTGGACTCGCCGGCCCTGGGGCCTGATTCCCAAGCTCTGCCTCTGGGAGCGGAGAGGCTCTAGGTCCCCCCAGGCCCTTCAGGACGTTTGGGAGGGTCCACGGTGAACCGTGCTAAGGACAAGGTGGAACCAGCCTCTGCGTTGGCGGGTTTTCCAAGCCAACTTTTCTTTTTATCTGAAGGGAAGGGCTGAGTTAAGGGGCCGCAGCAGGGGGACAGCACAAATAAATACAGAGAGACCTCTCCAGGGGCTGCTATTGTGCTGGGTACAATGGCCCTGGAGAGCACTTTCATCCAGCTGAGACTGGAAAGTAAAATAAATGTGGTCATATTACTGCCTCCGCCAGAGCCCTGACCTGCTTCGGCCCTCTCCGGGGCAGAGCTCCAAGCACCGTGGGAGTGAAGGGGCTCTTTGTATCCAAGTGCTGGCTCAGTGTGGGGGAGCAGGGAATTTAGGGTGTGGATACAGGTCCTCAAGGTGAGGGCTGGGATTCCCAGAAGTTGTGGGCGCTGGCCTTCATCACCCTGGGCTTTCTCAAACGCTGCCAGCCTGGTGTCCCCACCCTTCCCAGGGCTTTCCGGCCAACAATGGGCCCAGTCCGGCAGGGCCAGGCGGTGACACGCCCTGGCCAGGCTGCTTGGCTCTGTGGGGAGGAGAAGCCCCTCCCAGCCATGGGCAGGAGGGGCTGAGTGGGACTGGCGGCTTTCTAGAGCCTTAGGAAATGTCCCCAAATACTACAAGGCGGGCAGCCGAACCTCAGCTGCCTTTGATGGCTTTGAAGGGAGTCAGACAATTATAAAGCCCTTTCTGGAGGCGACACCATCTTTCATGGGGATGCATCTCGGCTCCTCGGCAGCTGGTGGCCCTAAGCGCCCCTTGCATAGGCCAGGGGGTTCCTTACCACCCAGGACACACCAGTCGCCTGCTCTAAACCCCCCTGGGAAGAGCTGAGCCCCATGCTGGCTCCTCAGGCTGTTTCTGGGTACAGCAGCCTGCCCCCGGGTCGTCACAGCGCCTGCATGGCATTTGCCCAACACACAGAGCTTGGAACTGGGAGATGCAGGTGCGGGGAGGGGTGGTGTAAGGAGCTGTGTGAGATCCACCATGACACCTTCCGAGCACAGGCCTCGGCAGATAGTGAGTCCTCACTACATGACGGCGACTTTATTAATAAAAGCTAACGTTTGAGGGCTTTATTTTATATCATGCTGGGTCCTGTTTTGCATGACTCTCACAATAACCCTTGGAGGTAGGTATTGTTATTATTAACCTTACTTTACAGAAGTGGAATTTGAGCCTTAGAGAAGTTACACTGTCACTGGTCACACAGCTAATTATTGGTGGGGCTGGACTCAGGACCCGGGCAGCTGGATGCCATGCCCCGCACCCCACAGCCACGCGGTCCCTTGTTATTATTACTGCTCAGCGGCGTGTCCTCGGGGAACGTCAGTCTCGGACTGTCCCGGACAAGGAGAAGGGTATTCCTGAAGCACGTGGAAGAAGTGGCTGGTTTCGCACTGGGGGACTCATACGAAGACTAGAGGGGATGAAAAGCCCAGAACAGAAATTAAAGTTATCAATGATTAAACTACTTAAAATAATACCAAGAAATCCTCCTGACCCAACACCTTCTGTTAATGTATCACTTCCCTGTGTCTGAGCAGCCAACCTGCCTTCATTTGGCCTCACTACCCAATCAGATAGCTGGTATCCTCTCCAAAAGGACCGATGAGGAAACTGAGGCTCAGAGAGTTTAGGGAGTTCAAGTCCATGTGGCTAATTACTCTTACTAAAAATCACTGAAGTTTCTGTAGCAACTACTTCATGCTGGTATTGCACTGGGCTCAACAACCCACTATAGTAACTAAGCAACGATGTTCTGATGGGTATTATTATTTTGTCCATTTTGCAGTTGAACAAACTGAGGCGTAGAAAGGCTCAACAACTGGCCTTAAGACACACAGCTCGAGAGCACCCCTGCCTTGGGGTTCTTGATGGGGTGCACAGACAGACTGAAAGCAACCAGCCAGTCTCCCCCAGAGAACCCCTTCATGCGGTGCCCCTGGGAGGTTTAGAATGTGGGAGACGCAGTCCTCACCTTAGGAAGGTCTTGGGCTGTGGGAGGCGGAGGGAAACAGTATGGGGTAGGAAGGGGGACCGGTCTGGGTGATCCCAGCTCTGGGCCTCACTGGCTGAGTAAACAGGCAGGTGTGTTTACTCAGCCTCTGAGCTTTGGGGTCCTCACCTGCACGGCAGTGCTCCGAGGACCTGTGTTGCAGGGGATACTGTTAGCACAGAGCTGAGCACTGAACAGCGATGCCTCACTACTGGAGATCTCCACTGAGGAGCAGAAACACACGCAGTTAGCAGTATTCTGCAGCGCTAGTTAGTTCCACTCCAGGCACGCAAAGAATTTACCCGGCAGGTTGGGTTGGGCTCATCATAGAGAGGGTGTGAGCTTGGGCTTGTCTTTGGTTTAGGCAATGGAGCCCATGGGAAATTTACATGGTAACTTCAAGGAGCTCCAGGCAACTGACTTCAAGCAGAGGTTCCATTACCTCCTTTCCCTGGGGCTGATACTCTCTGCCCTCCACCTCCTTGAAGAGTAGGACGCTGTAGAGAAGAAAGGCCCTGGGCAAAGCTGCGGAGGCGGTGAGGCCATGGCGTGGTTTGGAAGAGCTGAGAGCAAGCTTTGAAAGTGGGGCATTTTGGGAGGGGACGCTGAGCTGTGGGCGAGGCAAAGGTCAGTCGAGAAGGGCCTTGGATCCCCAGCCTGGTCTGTTGAGTTTGCCGTGTGTGTGAGCGCTAACCACTGGAGTGAGGCAGGGAGTCGACAGCCAGCGGCAGGGCGCAGCAGCAGGGGCGAGTGCCACGGGCAGCACGAGAAGGACTGAAGGGGACACTGGCATGGTCATTAGGGACTGAATGGCTGACACTGGCGTGGGAAGAGGCAGATGCTGACCGCACACGGACCCCCGGTTGGGGATTCCTGTCCTGCTTTTCACAGCAGTGAACTAAACCTGCCACCTCTCTCGAGAACCTCTCCAACTTCCAGGTGAGGGTCTGCCAAATGCGAGAGTGCCACTGCCCCGGACAGGTGTCAGGGATCGCGTTTGTGTGTCCCCCAGATTCACGTTCAACCCTCACCCTCGATAGGAAGGCAATGAGATTACGAGGGATAGAGCCCTTACGAGGGGCCAGGCCCTTATAAGAGACGGCTGAGGGCTTGCTTCCTCTCGTTGCTGTCCACCCTGTGAGGACATACAATGGCGCCTACAAACCCAGCAGGCTCTCACCAGGCACCTGACCCGCCACAGCCTTGGCTGCGGGCTTCCCGGCCTCCAGAACTGTAAGAAATACATGATTGCTGTTCAACCCCACCCCACCCCACTGTTGGTGGCATTCTGCTACAGCAGCCCCCATGGATGAAGAAACCCACAGCGGAACAGCGTGAGCAGAGGCCACCTAGGGTACAAAGAGGTCCTGGCAGGGAAGAGCAAAGTCAGAATGCAGGTTTCCTTCACTTTAAATTTGGTGCTGCAGGGGAGGGGGGCAAAGATTTGAAAGGTGTTTTCCTCCCATTGGGACTGAGCTTCTTAACCAAGTGGCCCTAACCAAGGGGGAGAGGCTAGAGGATGGGACGGAGAGAAACGACTTGGTTTTTGCACCGTATTACCCATTAACTCCAGCTTCCCTGTCCAAGGTTGCAGAGGACAGGCAGCTTGTTTCGAGCCTGACAGTTCAGAAGCTTCCCCCTCTAACCTCCCCAAATCGTCAGCCTTGTCTAAAAGATGAGATTGTGTCACAAACAAAATCAAACACCAGTCAGTGCAACAGCTCGATTAAAAATGGTTCTTCAGTCGCCCTGGTCGCTATGGTCTAAATAACTGGACAGTCCTGGTAGACCCTGTTTGGTTGCGTTTCCCTCGACGGCCAGCCTTCCTATGAAATGAAAGTGTGTGCCTAGGGCTCGGTTCAACTCTGGTTTTGTTTTGGTTATTGGAGGTTAGGCTGGAGCTTTTATGCACGGGATGGCTCTGTAGAGGGAGCAGGGAGATGAGGCAAACAGCACCCGGAGGCCTCTACGAATAAAGCACGCACTTTATTCACTGGGTTATGAGTACAGCGGGGACCCGGGGTGCAGCACAGAGCGGCGAGTGCCGTTGCAGCGGGAGCGTGGAGGAGGTGGGACTCGTAAGCACAGCGACGCGGGCCCCTGGCCACCTCTGCAGACCAGCACGCGGTACTCGGGGTGTGGACGGACACCCACTCACTTTCACGGGGAACACGACACATCTTTGACACAGCGATTCTTCCACATATTTGCTTTCATGGTTCCGAAAAGGGGAGGGAGGGCAGGGAGAACTGTGGACCTTCTAACACTTGAAAAAAATTCCACAAACCCAATGGAAATGGAAAAAATCGGGAGAGCTTCGATGCAGGGTTGCTGGCAACTCGCAGAAACCGCACATTACTGGGTGGGTCTGTACCCCAAAACCCCCAGAGAACATCAACTTTGAGGACACCCCTCTCCTCCCCTGCAAGGTGAAGAGACGTATGCATACACAGTGATAAGCGGCTCACCGCCTTTTTGAATGTTGGTGTCCACAGGATGGTCTCCTTCTACCTTTGGTGAACGGGCTCAGAAAGTGACTTGGGACCTTCACTCTCAGAAGAGATCCATTGGGGGGGCGAATTTTATTTAATTATAACAATTGCCACTCAATTATGTTTTAAGTGCCAGAATATGCTGGGTTTCTTTAATGTTGCCGTGTACACAGAAATTGTTCAGGAAGTTTCTTTTGGCTTCAACTGTCCATCTCCCCCTTTCCTTTCAAGCTTGCAGTGAATTCAGCTGCCCAAACAAAACACAAAAATCCATATGCAAAGCGTATCAGTCAGCATCTCCCTAGTTTCCTGGGCACCTGGAAAGACGGTGTTTTTGTTTTTTTAAATGCCAAAGTAGAAGTTTCTCATTCTTTTCATTATAACACAGGTGGGTGCTTCCCCTGACGTACATCATCACTATGAGGTGGTATCATCGCAAATCTCAAGTCCCAAATAACCTTTTTTTCCCGGATAGAACATTCTTCAAAACAGAGGACTGATGAGTGAGTTTTAGGGCATACTGACAAACACTTGGTATGTCAAAGAAAAATAATTTTTTAAAAACCAGATAAAATCAAGGCCGGCTTAGGAAGTACGGATTAAACAGTGACTGGAAACAGAGAAGAGTGATTCGTGAAAACTGAAGCTGCCTCAGAGGACGCAGAAGGGCGGGGGACGCAGAGGCCAATTTCCTCCCGCCGTCACTCATGACAGGCACAGAGAAAGCCCCGGGGGGGGGGGCCGGGGGCCCGGAGGAGCCCCCTGCGCCTTCAACACGCAGGGGGTTGCGGCCACCGAGTTTGCTTAGGAGAGTTTTTTAGAAAAACCTACTCAGTCAAAATGGTTTGAGTTTTTTAAACTAGCAAAAGCATATACATAGTTTATGTAATCATCTGAGAAGCAATTCTTTAGAAAAAGGTGTTTCGCTTTCAAGTGTAAAGAAATCAGGTGAAAGTTTTATAAACATTTTCCAGCGAAGCCTCCGCCAATGGAGCCGACTGACAGACATGACCCGGTGGAGGAGAGAGGACCGGCCGCCCCAGTCCCACCTCCGAAGAGGAGACTCGGCTTGGCAACGACAGTACAGGGAGAAGGGGGAGAGGCCAGAGGACAGGACGGAGAGAAAGGACTTGGTTTTTGCACCGTATTACCCATTATCTCCAGCTTCCCTGTCCAAGGTTGCAGAGAACAGGCAGTTTGTTTCGAGTTATTGAAGGAGTCACGTTACGGACATTCCCTAATGAACCCTAACCACCATGTGGACGCGGAGGCTAGCTGGACAAGTTTCCAAACGCCCTTTGTGTCCCATCGCAAGTCATGCAGGAAGACAAGATGGTACCTGGCTCTTCTGGAAGAGGCCTGAAAGGAAGCAGTGACTGTCATAGTGCCACCGTAAGGGCCTCTTTTATTCCACACGAGCAGTGTGCTGGAGGGATCATAAGGAAGCCCAATGCTTATACACGTAGCCCTTGTGTCTGCACCAAGGAAGCTTGCCCGGTGTATAATTCCATCCCTACAGTGAGCAATCCCTGTCCATCTGACTGTGTTCACACCTGGAATTTTTATGTGCAGGGCAGGGCGGGGTTCAAGCAGAAAACACGGATCCCTGGTGCAGCGGCCTGGATGTTTTAAGAACAAGCTTGCTGAGCCTCATTTAACAAAGCGGGTAGAGTGTCGTGGCCCCGGTATTGGATCTGGCAGTTAGGAGAAGCAGGTTGCCTCTGCAGCCATCCCTCCAGCTGGAGCCTTCTGCTGGGGAGTCAGGTTGGGGAGCCCACTCTGTACTGGGGCTCACTGCCCCCCACTGCAGAGCACAGCACCGCTCTGCTTGCAAACAGCAGGCCACTGGCATTTTTGGGCAAGGCATATTTGCATGGCATAGTTTAAATTTCCCAATACACTTGACATGGCAAGAAGCTCTTCTCCCTTCTAGGATGGCTGCAGAAACAAATTCAAATGATACAAGGAAAGCAAAGTTTTGTTAGTGGGAACAGGTTTTGGGCTCAGTTTTTTGACCATCACTGCAGTTTTTCTGACATGGGTACTCGATCTGCGTGTGCATGGGGGAATAATCATCAACCAATGAAAATATCGAGGGTCCTTTTTGACCCCACAATGGTAAAAAGTCTCCACACCAGCCTAGTGCGGGGACCCCTGTTGCTGATGGTGGCAGGGAAACACGGGGAACACACTGTGGTCCCCACCCCTGACACTTCGCCAGAGCAAAACAGGGACTAGGACACACAGGCTGCCAATGGGGTGAGGTCAGCAAGGAGAGGGCAGCAGAAATATCGAGTGAAGCAAGAGGCAACTGATGGATACGAAGGAACAAAACTGCACTCTAGTCTGGCTCCATTCACACGAAGGAACAGCTGGTCTCCTGGCTCCACCGGGTTGGAGCCATCTGCAGACTAAGTTAGGAGGTCAGATGCGCGTGCACACGCACACACACCATGGAACCAGCCACGCTAGGCAAGGAGAGGAGCAGTAAAGGCCAAATTAAAACACTTTCAGGCCATCTACCCTGGAGTCGCAGAGTTTTAAAACTGAAAACCATGCCTTTCCTCAGCCAACTACTGAAAATATCTTGAAAAAAGAACCTGAAACCAGCTTGGGCGTGATTTAATGCAGAGGATGCCAGATGCAATGCAGAGCATGGGAACTTGCATTGGTGGGACACAGAACTACGTTTTGCCAAGAGTGCCACAGCCCCTGGGCATAAATCACCTAACAGCATGCTGTGCCCATCTGGAGACCATTGTTTCCCTTTCCTGTCCGTGTAAAGCGGGACGAGAGGCAGCTCTGGTCCCTGGGGGCGGGCGGGGGGCGGTGGAGAGTGAACTGCATTATCCAAAGCAGAAAAGAGTGAAGGCAGCTTTTCCTTTCTTTGCTTTTCCTTCTTTTTCTCTTGAAAAACCTTTTGAAAAAACAATAGCTAAGTGACTTGTGAACCAGGTCCTGGCTAACAGCAGAGAAAAAGCAGATCGTTAAAAATAACTCCAGCTGCTACTTGGCCCCCTAGAGCCGTGGAGTTCCCAGGCTGGGATTCCCACCCTGTGGGAGCACAGAGCTATGTGGGGCCAGCGAGCAAAGGCGTGTGCAAAAGGCTGCTACCACGTGGACATGTCCCTCGGGCTCTTCCTTGTTAGCCAGTCTGCTACGTAATAAATATATTCCTACTTTGGAGTTACGGCAGCTGTTTCTCCCACGCAGCATCCTAAGGGCACTTGCTGGCTCTGGTCCACACAGTCGGCACTATCGTTGGACAACGGTTAAAGAGAAGCAAAAGGAGGAGCTCTTGTTGTGGGCATCCAGCGACGTGTAAAGGGTCACCTGTGAACACTACTGTCGTGTGTGGGAACACAGACATTTCTACTTGCTCCTTGGCAAGTGTCACCATTGGTCGGCCCAATGTTTGGCTCATGGGTGTTTTAATCAGAATTCTCCCTTTTTGTTGTTGCCGAGGGAACAGTAGTTTGCGAATTCTCCAATCAGGTTTGGGCCTTAATACAACATCCTATGTGTCACTGCCATGGTTAGTCCTTTGTTCTGATTGCTGGTTACATGTGGGACTTAAAAGAGTTTTGCTTTTTTCTTCATTTCATTGCGTCTCCAAAGAGGTAACTTGTCAAACTCCTGGATGGACATTCCAAAGATCTCCCAGAACACTTCTGGGGCTAGGTGGCGCTGTGGAGGGACAAAAGAACTGCGGTCAGTCCTGCTATCTGTGCCCGTGGCCTAGAGGGTTGCCCTCCTGTTTATGAGCAATCTTTCGAAGAGCAAGGCAGGATGGTGGGAAGGAGTTTACCTCCCAGGCTTGTTAGCAGGCATAGCACCTCAGTATTCCTCACCTGCCTGGGCCAGGTGAGCGCCCTCTGCACCAAACAAAGAGCGGGTGGAGTACTAACAATTATTAGAATAGCACTGGATGGTGGTGAGATGTAGGAAGGAGATTTATCATGCTGTAGGTGAGTCTGCTTCAGGTCCTTGGGATGTTCAGAAAGACGCAGACAAAATGGACCATAGCAATAAGCAAGCCAGAGAGACTTCCAAAGTGGTCCTTGGGGAGCCCCAGGCTTCCTGCTGGCTCCGCCACGGGAGTCAAGGTGGTTGCTGGGTCTACTGAAGGGCGTTCCACCTGTTGTCCCTCCTAGAAAAGTTCTCTTAAAATACCGGAGACTTGTTTCTTTGTGCTAGGCTGACCTTGCATACAAAGACGCTGCTGCCTTTCATCGGGGAAAAAGAATGATTCTTTTTTAGTCTGGCAGTCAGGGCTTTTCTTAATTAAAATCATTCAGATGGAAAAATACAAAGGTCAGTCTTCCAGGTCTAAGGAGGTCTTGGGTATGTGTACCCAGATAACCTTGCAACAAGGACCGTGGAAGCAGCCAAGAGAGAAACCTGCTCTGTCCAAACTCCTTTACTGGACGTTCCCTCCCCTCTCTCAGCGGACTCAGCCGAGGTGCGGGGGAAGACAGGGGTCTGGGGATATTTGAAGAGAGATGGAGGGTCCCTTCTACACCACCAGCTGGACTTATGGCAACACCAAGTTCCCAAAGAAAATGACTAAAGTCACACTGGGTCTCCTAGTGGTTCTTCTGGATTTTACTTAATGCTGATCTTTTAAGTGTAAATAATGGGTTTTTCTCCAAAGTTACCACTAAGTTCTACCTATGATAGGAGGGTGATCCTTTTCATTTTTTCTGCCTGCATGAAAACATTTCTTAGGGGAAAGTTGGAGGAAATGCACTGGGAGCTGCCGCTGGGGCTAGATTTTTATTTATTTCTCTATTTACCTCCAGCCTCGTTCTGTCCACATCTCTCAGGATTTTGTTGCGCCCTCTGTTGGTCACCTTGAGCATTTCATATGGAAATATCTGAGAAGGAAAGAAAAACACCTTTTCAGGAACACTGACGTCCATTTCATTAACAAGCACCATCTGCCTGAAGTCTAGTGCCCCCAAGGTGGAGCTCCTGAGATTATAATTAAAGCATCTGAGGCCCCAGTGTGTGGGGACAAGTTCTGACACATTCATGCTGCCCGCTAGGGTCTCACATAGCGCTGCGCCTTTGGAGGGTTCTGCTGTGGGAAAGAATTCAAGTTTCCCATGTCTTGGGGATGGAAGTCAAAACTAGAAGAGAACTGAAATTACAGGTACATGTTTGCTGCAGTAGGAGACCTTTATATGTACTTCAACAACCTTGTTCCGAGACTGGCTCACAGATCCACGGGTCCAGGCAGGCCCAGACGCAGTGTTTCTGGTAGATGACATGCTGAAATAAGTCCCGGTTAGGGTCACCAGGGAGCACGGCCCTTAGACACCTCTGGAGGTACAGGATGTTCAGGAGCTAGGGCAACCAACCATCCCGGTTTGCCGGAGGAAGGGGAGGGTCCTGGGATGCCAGACTTCCAGTGCTACAACTTGGAAAGGCCTGGGCAAACTGGGACCTACTGGTCACCCTCTCTGGAGCAATCTGCAGTGCCCCCCCCCCCCTGCACTGGACATGCCTTGTAGAGCTCAGGGCAGGGGACTAGTTAATACTGAGGTGCCAGGAGACATGCTGGTCCTTCCTGTGAGCACACGGCATCACAGGAAGTGAGGGCTGACTCCTGTGGACTTGGTCAACAAAAAGAGCCAGATGGCATGATGGCTTGCCAAAGGTGCCAGCCTAGAGCTGGGGGATCCTCAACACTAAAGTGAAAAGACAGAACACCAAATCCCTTTCAGGCTGACGTCCCAGCTTGTCGTCCTCATATAGGAGGAGAGAGAGCAGCTGCACTTGCCTTTGGATCCAACATGTTGGGCATAGACACTCCTCGGTCCATTCTCATGCCAGGCATGTGGCCATCCGGGAGGGTCTGCAACAGAAACGCTGGCTCAGGGAAGAGCGCGGGGCAGTGTGGGAGCTGAAGGGAGAGCCCTGTGGGCTCCCGAGCCTTCCTGTTCGGATCTCAGATCCTCCCCACCATTTTATAGGTGTGCACCTTAATTACTACAGCTTTTTCTGGAGGAGATCCTTGCTGAGGCAGAGCAGGAATACTGGGGGAAATAGTCTGGCTTAACTGTATTGACTAACCCCTGAATTTGGGCTCCGACTATGAAAGTATGTGGTACATTAAAAAAAAAGGTCAAGTTTATAATTGTCAATTTCTTATTTTTATCTCATGTTTTTTTGCACAGTTTTCCTTTCTCGTTCTTCCATCATAATTTTACAAGGTTTGGGTTGTAGGAAAGAAGGAGCGGTACCAACGCATCTCTTTCTTTTTGGCCAAGATAGTAGTTTGTTTTCGTATGGGACCAGGCAAAGGAGGGGGACTGCACGCACCGAGTCATTATCATTAAAAGAAAGTAAACTGTACATGGGGTGCCCTTGGTGCTGGTCTACACCCCACAGAGGGCACGGTTCAAGGCCAGAGCAAGAGTGCTCGGACACCTGGCCTGGTTTGTGCCACGTCCCCATGGCCTGCGGGGACAGCTCGACCTGTGCAGGGGCGCGCCCGCTCCCGTAGCTCCTCACGGCTATGGACTAATGACCACGTGGGTCAACCCACGTCAGCATCGTGCCAACTGAAACCCTTCCCTGGGGCAGCAACACACATCTGAGCTGGAAAGCGCCTGTTCTGCTGGCGTGGCTGACTCCAGGAAGACAGGGTCCCGTACCTGGTAGTCTGCAAAGAAAGGAGAAAGAAAGCGTCAGAAGGGAAAGACCACGGAGAATCACAGACGCGAGAATGGAGAGCCTGTGACCTTCTGCACCGGCCCAGACACCGCCCAGTGATGCTGTTCTCCCCCTGCTCAGTGTCAGTTATCAGTTAGAAAACACCTTACCTCGTGGAAGTTTCCCCGCCACCCAGAAGGCGCTTCTGTCTTCTCTTGGCGTCTCCATCCATCACATTTACCCCACGGAGCCTCCCCCTTGGCTGTGTGCATTCTAAAGACAGAGGCCACCCCTCACTGCACCTCCAGGCATCTAACGAAGTGCTCAGCACAGAGTAGGGGCAAAGAATTCATTCTTACAAACTCCCTTCTCGCAGTCTCGAGGTCTCATTTCATTAGAGACCACTTGAGATTTGAACAGATGCCTGGTTAGCAGGCAGAGGGTGGGTGTGGCCCCACTCCAGAGTGTAATGAGCCCACCCAATGCCCTTGTCATCGTCATCACACAGCCTCTGCCCAACCTCAGCCACAGCCAGCCAACAGTGCGCTCGGGGGACCCTCACCTCGCAGGCCCCCACTGACGTCCCCGTAGCTGTTGTACTGAGCGAAGTCTGTAGAAATGGGCTGAAAGGAGAAAACCATGGCATCAGAGAAGCTACTCCCCACTGTGTCAGGGAGACAGGTGAAAAGGCTGAAAGAAGTTACAAAATGTAAGAATTCTTCCCAAGTTGAAGTCCTGGGCCCTCACCATTTTTCTTCCCTCCTTTTTCTTCTACTTCTGCAAAATCTCTCTGACTGTGGTAGTACATTCGATGCCACCACGTGGCAGGTCTTTAGCAAGCAAGTACCTCTCGCTAATAAATAATAACATAGCTCTCCACATAGTTAAACACCTCTCCATAGTTTAAACATGGAATAAAACATTTATTCCATATTTTGTGGGGAGGCAGGTGCCAAAAACTTTTCTATATATTTTTTACAACAACATAGATAAAAGCTCAACTAATTACTTTTTGCTTGATTGTAGAAACACCTGCCACTCTATTACTTAATCTAGTCTTCCCATAAACTTACACAGGCTATTCTTTTATCCAAAGTCAATTTCTCTTTCTTTCAACAGAAATGCTCATTTTGCTCACAACTCAGAGTGATTCCCCAGGAGATCGGGGATATTACAATTTTCGTTGCACACGAACTCGGAGATCAGTGCGCCTGATGCATTTGGAGCAGCATGTCAGCCCTTCAACCAGGACTGAAGCGGGAATAAATTCAAACAACAGACTGCCAGGTCTTACCCGGTGAAGCCCATTTCTTCCATAGCCTGGGAGAGATGAGGTTTTAGATGATAGTACATGCGACGCTAGAGGAGAAAAAGGTAAAAAAAAAAAAAAAAAAAGCAATGGTTAGGAAAGAAGAAGTCCCATTCTTGAATGAAATTGGAAGTGTATCCTCTCCCTTGCAGAATACAAGATTTAGAAAGAAGAATTAATCCAAATAATATTGGGCTCAAACGTTCAGAAAATGCCACCACAGTGGAATGAGTAGGGAGTGATATTACCAAGGAGGGGTGGGGAAGGTGTATCTGAACCCTTGATATGACCCCGACGATGCTGTTATTATTTCCATTTTTCAGGGGAAGAAACAGGAGCTGACAAAAGTTAAGGAGCCTGCCCACGGTCGCTAAGCCTGTAAACAGCTGAGCACTGATTTGAGCCCAGAGCTACCTGGATGAACAAGCCTGTGCCTCAGTTGATATGGCAGCAACCACTGACCCAAAAGTCAATCATGAACGTTAGCAAGATCTACTGGCCTGCCGCCCCTGGACTCCTGGGAGGCCTGGGATAGGGTATCCCGCCAACGGCACGGATGCCTCATAATCTGCTGGGCTTTGGGGCACGCGGACCTGGCCATGAATTCTGGCTCTGACTTAACCCCTCCGCGTCTCGGGGCATGGCATTTCGTATTGTTAAGTCTCCATTTCTTGACCCATATAGTTATAGTGCTACATATTCTTACAGAACATAATCACAGAGTCAGATGGAACTCCAAAGAGTAGTAAACCACCTAATCCAAGGTCAATGCCAGGAAGGTGTCTAGGAGAGGTAGCAGGACAACCAGTTAAGACTGTGGGCTCTGGGGTTATGATACTTGGATTCCTAAATATGAATTTTGCTAGTTATTGGTGATGTGACCCTGCATAAGTTACCTACACCTCCTGTACCTGAGCTGCAAAATGGGGATAATATCACCTACGTCACTGGCATACTGTGAAGAATAAGTGAGATAATATTTAGCAAAAATGCTTACATATAGTAAACACTAAACATATGTTTAAAGAACCCTCAGGAGAGAAAATTAGGTGCTAGCTCAGAACATGGAAGAAGTCTTGTGGGTTAAGAGAATTAGCTTTTGACAAATATAAGCAGGGGGAAACATCCTTATAAACCATTTTAGCCCAGTCATCTCCTTCAAAAGTGTCAAAGTGGCACCATTAGTCTTCAGTGTGTGTACTGAATATATTAAGTAAAATTAGAATGCTTACAGAATGTTGTCTGTGCTCTTGATGGCCCACAAGCATCCCGTTCTCTTTGTGGATTTCCTCTGTGCTTGTCCCTGAGATGACTATTCTAACCTGACCCCTGTGTTCTTGGGGTCCTCTAAGGGCTCCCCCATTTGCAGCAGGAAGAAAACACACATTTAGGGATGAATCGTGACAAGCTTATGGGCTCCGATGACATGCAGCAGGTTTCCCACACTTCCTTCCCTGTAGAACACTCTGTGGGTCCCACTGGAAAGGTCCCTTCCTCTCCCGTCACAGTCAAAGCCGGCCCCTTGCAGGCAGGTGGCTGGTCTCGGCTCAGGGAAGGTGGTGGGTCTACCGCTCACCTGAGCTGATGGGCGAATCATAGCGACTGGCTGACAGGGATGACCTCTCCCGGCTCTCTCTCTCCTTCTCCCTCTCCATCTCTTCTTTCAGTATCAACTGCCCCAGGCCTGAGTTGAGCTATTCACGAAGAAAAGATAAAGGGAAGGGAAGCCTACAGTTACTTTCATGAAAAATAGGATTTCTTTTTAGAAGGTCCAGCAAGGACTCTGGTGAAGCCTGGATGTATGTAGTCCCAGACAGAGCCTGTGGTTCCTATGAGCTAGGCCAGGTTCTGGACCTTGAATCCCGCAGCCCTTTCAATGTCGAGGCTGCATTTCCCTGAGCCGGCTCCATGCCAGAAGAACGTTCTCCCTCCCTCGCCCTCCCCCAAAGTGCCAGCAGGTGAACTCTGGGGGCATGTGTGAGTGTGTGTGGATTTTTGATGTAGAAAGGGGGACTGGGGATAGTAGACTTTAAAAAGAAATCACATTGATTTGTTTAACAACAATGCAAATTTTAGTAAACTCAGAAGAATGGTAACCCATAATCCCCCACTCAGAGATATTAATTTACATTCTGTTCTATAACCAGTACTATAATATGCATATATTATACAAAATTGGGATACTAGAAATGCAACTTGGCATCCTATGACATCATATAACTAACATCATGTGTGTTTCCAATATGATTAAGTGTCTTTGGAAAATGTCATTTGAAAGGATTCATCAACTCCTTACCGGGGGGAGAGTTTATAATGCCTTTGTGTGTGCATTCCTTACTGATGGGAGAATCATAGCGACTACACATAAAGTCCTACGAGTCCTGAGGAAAGACTTGGAGAAGGGCTCAGTTCCGCGGGGATTCCTTCAGGGGAGCCTGCCCGAGGGAAGGAAGGTGCCGAACTTTCGGGATGTGCGCCTTGGTTCTACCAGCTCTTCAGCAACCTTTCAACACGCCACGCGTGCCCCGCACAGGGTCCAACAGCACACGTCCCTCTGACTCCCAGCCTCCAGGTCGTCTCTTCCAGAACCCACTGAGTACTCTGTCATATTACCATCTCTAGAAGCAAGCCCTAGAGCGCTGGGACCACTTCTTGCTAGTCTTGGTGGCTCACCCATAGTAACCAGTCCCAAAATATGGACCGAAGAGAATAGAATTGAAGACCACAGTGAAGCGGTTTAAGGACAAACCTTCATCAATTGCTCTTCTTGAAGCTGCCGGCGTCTCAGAAGTTCCTCGTCGTCTTCCTCTCTGCCGCTAGACCGGCGTCTCGTGTCAGCCCCTAATTCCACAGCAAAGACAACTTCTCATGTTAGCCGCATAGCAAGGGGATCGTGAGGGACTAGGCCACCTGTGCTCAACTGCCAGGCTGTCAAGGTCATAGTGGTGGTCTTGACTATTAATGAGCAGCACAAGGGAAAAGGGAGCCTACCGCTAATTCAGCATCCTGGCTGGTTTCTCGAGACAGCGGTCTGTTTGACAAGCCAGTTGAGTGTGCAACCCAGTGAGGCATGGATTTTGTTCTCCCAGTAATTGGTCTGCTCAGTTAACTGAGCAGGGAAGACTCGGGTTTGCCCTGTGATTGGGGCTGAGTCACCCTGGTGAACACTGGCCAGAAATCTGTAGTCAGTAGCAGGGGCTTCTACACTTACTATTATTTTACTGTTCCTAAGGTCAGTTTTCAAGTACAGAGAAATCCAAATTCATCCCCATACCTTTAAATAGTCCCTTTTTATGACAAGTTTTAAAATCTTACAGTTTCCTCTTCTGCTGAATATATAGGCTTGCCATAATAATATTACCCTTTCTTTTACCCTGAATAAACTCATGAACAAGTATATTTTTTATTTTTCTCTTAAGGGCTGGGTCTCTAATACTTCCTTTTTCTCAGTCCTCTGAAAAATGATCACAAAAAAGCGCTCTACTGATAAAAACTCTCGATACAGCAATATAGCTAAAAAGTTACTTTGATATAGTGTAGCAAGTCATGTACAATTTTTAAGCTTCCTGGTACAGGAGAGATGGGGGTGGGAAGGAAGAATTTGTCTAAATGGTTGGAAAATTAAGATAATTACTGTTTTTCCTAAATTGCTTGAATTGATCTGGCCGTGGGAGGGAACAGGAAAGCTTGCTAATCTAATCAAAACAAACTTTCATAGTCTTAGTTTCTCTTATTTTGATTAACGGACCCGAAACTGTCTTCATTTTGGAACCCACGCGTTTCCACAACAGAATGTTAATCCTCTTACCCACTTTGGGCCTGGCTACTGTGGTGCCCTGCTAAGCAATATGACCGATGTGGGGCCCCAAAGGCCCCACGAACTGCCTGGCAGAGAAAAGCTGATGATCAGTTCTTAGTTCCTAAAATCATAAATGCCAAGGTGAACGGTCTCTCTTTATACTAACAAAAATTAATGAACACAAGTTTGCAAGAGTCAGATATATCTCAAGGCAACATCGCATGTAGAATACTTGTGGGTAATGGACCCAAGAGATAGATTTTTCCTTCAACTCTTTGTATACCTTTAAATTGCTACAAAATCTACTTATATTGCTCATAAAAGTTATTCCAAAAATAAATTGATAGAAAATGGCATGGTGAAACAAAATTTGGAAATTTTGGAAAATTGAAGGCCTTTTATGTTATCAACAGAAATAAGGCAGTCAGATCTTTGTAAAGCCAGCTCAATAAATTTCCAGTATTAGCGCTGGAGTTTGCTAATACGTTTCTAGGCCAAGTGATTTCACAGCTGACAAAACAGTAAAGACGTAGACACAATTCTAAAGCATAAATCTGTGGTTCGAAGCAAAGAATGAAACAGCTCAAATGTGACACCTTAGCATAGAATCATGGAAATGATGGATGTAAAACCACAGAACTTCACACGAGTAACGTTTCAGAACATGCACGGCTCTGTGATAGCCCTTCTTGGAAATGGAGAACCTGATTTTGTAAGAGAAGTGAAAGTGCTTCAGTGTTAAGACTGGTTGTTAAGAGGACTGTAATTACAATCAGAAATAGTCTAAAACACATTTAAATGAAAGACGACACGTGTCTGGGGATGACTCGGTTAATTTATCCGCTAATTTCTAATTATATAGAACAACGTTCTTGCCAAGAGGCTTTGATTCAATGCTGTTCGGAAGCGTCCCTGATTTTGCAGGAATAGCTCCGAGGGTCCACGTGCATCATCTGTTTTAGACCAGTTCTGCATCTTGGTGACTTGGTTAGAGCACGCTCTGGGGATGGGGCATTTGTAACTCGGAGACATTTTGCACACACATTAATACCACATTAGTTCTTTCCCCTATTCTACCTTTTGGTCATATGTTTTCTTAAAAAACCTTTATGAGAGGACTTATTCCCCTGCATATTTTTTAGCATGGCATTTTGAGATCTCCTAGCCATCTGTCCATTTGGCTTGGCTGTAACAGTCGCATACCTACGGCGGCAAGTGAGGGGGGACCGGGCCAGTGGTCCGTCTCAATCTTTGGGATCTCGGTGGGGTCTGGAGCCTGGGCTGCTGGGAACTTGGAAAACTTGATGATATCTTCGGAAGACTTGCTCTGGGCTGCCAAGGCAGCTGCATCTAGGTGGAACCAGGGGGAGCTTAGCTACCATGGTCTGCAAGGCCATGGTGGTAACCCACTCACATCATCCTGTTCTCGCCAGTATCAGTTGCCCAGTCCCTCATCAACTCATTTTCCTGATGCTGCATTGGAAACATCGCTTGGTTTTACACCTGTTCGGTATCTGTGCTGGAGCTACGCTGTCCGGTACTAGCCACATGTGTCTGTTTGAATTTAAATGAATGAGATTAAATGAAGAAAATTATTGCACTAAAAGTCAGTTCCTCGGTTGCATATTTTAAGTGGCTATGGTCACATGAATTAGATAGTATGGTTATAGAACATTTCCATCATCCTAGAAATTTCTATTGCACAAATTCCTAAAGCAGTTAGACATTTGAATTAGTAACCTGGGATTAAAGAGCTAAGTTAAAAAGCACAATACTGTCTTTTGATTGTTAATCATAAGTGGGCTGACTGGCTTTGTCTTTTGGCTTTTTAGCCACAAATATATTAGTCTGTGTATATATTATATGTATATTAGTCCTTATATATTATATATATCCTTGAGTCCTAGGAGAAATGGAAATGGGGAAGTTCACTTTCAGCAGGAATTTAGTGTTGTGACGTAGGTTTCGTATGCCTACTCTTTGTTTTCTTCACAGGTCTGCCCACAGAAGCAAGTCATCCAACTTTAAAACAACAAAAGCCAGACAGGGGAGGGCTCGGTGGCTCAGAGCCCAGAGGCCAAGCTCTGAGATGGAGCAGAACAAACCGGAATAAACGGTCAGGTCCTAATTCTGGCTAATTCTGCAAAGTGACCTGGGATGTTAGTAAACATTTCAAAATGTATTTATAATGCCTTAAATAAAACTCCCCTCCTCCCTGGGTTCCCAGGTTTTTGAACCTGGAAAGAACTTTCAGAATCTTGTAGAACACTGCTAGGTCACAATCTAAGTGACTTGACCAAGGCCATCCTTTGTTATCATAAGGAAGTAGGTCTTAGCCTGGTTTGGAACAGGTTTTTCTGAGTCAACCTCATGAGAACACTGCACAACGTATCCTCCTCTTAAAGAAGAACAACATGGATTAGTGTATTAAGGATTGAGTTCTGCGTTACCAAAAGAGAAAATAAAATAAAAAATTGTGACTTTATTTAAATCTAGCACTTTTCCAAACGCATCAGGGTGCATGCAGCCCTGCTTTGCAGAACGGCCTTTGGGAAGTGATGCTTTTGGATGTGCTAGTCTTAATGAATGAGCACAGTCTGAAAGGAAGGAGTGAAAGTCAGAGTAAATTTCAAAAAGCCAATTAAACCCTTCCAAATAAACAACCTAACATTATCCAAACTTTAGTCTTCATTGTTTGATTATTTTTATTGAGAGAGGCAGGGCCTAGAGATTTTTGTATTAAAAAAAGTCTCTAAATTGATAAAGTCTGGGAATCTTATTCTTAAGTTAAAAAAATAAAAAGCATGACTTCAAACAGTACTTACTCATTAGAATTGGTGAAGTCAGTAAACATTCACATGTTAATGAGTGGGTGAGAAGACATTAAACCATAAAAAACAAACAAAAACAATGTTAGCAAACTTAAAAAGCAAGCACATGGTGTAAAATCTTTTAAAAAAATGAAAATAAAAAACAGATGAGGAAGAATGTCATAATACCACAACTGTTACAACACATATATTCTCTCTTTTCCCCTAGAATGCTGGCCTAATTTTTTTCCTGTGCTTTTTTAACTTTATTTGCTTTTCACATCATTCTACTCCTTAAGGACTTGTTAATGTCAACTACATTTTAAAGGCAGCCTTCAAATTTCCAGGCACTATTTGCGTATAATATTCTGAAATCGCCTGAGGACCTGTCTTGGCTTTCTCTGCCCATTCACCAACACGTAGGGCAGACAGATCTTTAGACACCTAATGATGGTGGAGGGAAATGTAATTTACAGGCCGTAATGTGATTTCCTGGGCTTCAAAACTCCATGGTCCCAGAAAAGGAAAACACAATTAGAAATCCACAGCAGTGATTCTTCATTTGCAGGAATCTCAGGCACAAACTAGCCTAACTCACTGGTTTTACAGATGGGAAAACTGAAGGTCACAGAAATTGTGTGCATGACAAGCTAAATCCTAGAGCCACTTAGGTGACCAGATGGGATGAGGGCCAGGACCTCTGCGTTGGCGTGTGTCCCCTCCACACCATCACCAGGGCACAGATGTCTTTGGGCGCCATAAGAGACTGGGGAACTGAACAGCCAAGCTGATGCCGGCTTAGTCAAATTAATTTTTCCAGGGAGCTGGCTTTTACTAGTTTTAATTAAACAAATTGTCAGCTGATCCAATTGGTACAGGGGTTAGTAAAATTATTTAATGGCAAAGGAAAAAAACAGTCCCGTTAGGCTGTTTGTGAATCAGGGCATGGCTTGCATTTTCCCTTCTTGGTGAGTGGAATGATACATGGTTCGATGGGCTCAGAAATGAGCTGGGAGCTTCCTGACCAAGCCAAGTGTCCTCTGTCTAGGGACACCAATTTCACAATATGTGCATCTCAGGAGAACATCAAAGCATAATTTGCTGGGCGCCCAGGTTGGAGTCTCAAAAGCAGCAGCAGATAAGCCTTTCAGAGGACAGCAAAGACAAGTTCAGCTGACGCCGCTACTTAAAAGCTAACGCGTGGGGAAGCGGGTTTTACCATGCTGTTTGTAGATGGGTGGTTTTCGGTAAATGTTGATCCCTTGATCTGTGGAAATGAAAAGCAAAGGTGTGTGATTATGGGAACCGGTTCAGCGATGGGAAAAACAGAACAACCAAGAGGCAAACCAACTGAAGACTCTTGAACAAAAAGAACCCCCGAAGGTCGAGTTTTGTATTACAAAGAGTGAGTTACTGGGAGAAGAAATTACAGCAATGAGCGAACTGCTATAGACAAGTGATGTGAAATCCTTTGTAATACATCTTAGGATATATCGAGATGTCATTAATTCATGAGCCATTTATTTCAAATACACATTTTGCTAAAAGTGGGACTAACACAGGAAGAAATGCAAGCAGTGGTGGTACTCTATGGTGAGGAAGACATAACCAGTTTGGGGGAAGTCCCCAAATTGCTATTGTCTGGAAATTGAGCTCCTAGTAGATACCAGTGGCTCAATTTGCTTTTCAACTAATGAGTGGAACAGTAGGAAGCAATGGAGTCGAACTAAAAGTATTTATTGAAAACACAGAAACCCTTTTCATGTGCAAGGCTGGTCTGTCATGCTACCAGGATGTTTGACAGAATCCTAACTTCTACAGGCCAATTTTTTTTTAAATAAAGAAAAATACTGAGATGCCAAATATTATTCGCACATTTCCACAGGGCCCCATTTGATTATGCTACTGTGAGTGCAAACACTCAGGACATTCAGCAGCTGTTTCTGTGGAACTGTGGGCCCTGGATCTCGGTGGGGCATCCTTCAAGCACTAAAGGGGCTCAACTGAGTAACGGTGATGTTCAAGGTTCAATGAAACTTTTGCCTATCTGAGTGGCATGAATCTCACTGAAGCTTCCTCTGTTTTATTAGGTTGGTTTGGAATGCAAAAGGGAAAAAAACAACAACAGATTCCGAATATGCAGTCTAACATTAACATAGCGGGTAATTGGTTAAAACAGTTTCAGCAGCTAAAAGAAGCAAAACAATGGGCTTCCCGTGGGAAAAATAATGGCGTGACTTCTGATAGCCAATCTTGCCTTTACAAAACGAGCTGACCCTAAACGTTATAGTGATGGGTTCTGATCTTTCCAGTTCCGGCTGGCAAATTACTATTTGTGCTGTGACAGCAAATGCCTGTGACTGCAGCGGGAAGCTGGCAGCACCAAGCCTAAATTGCACGATATCTTTGTGGGCTCCGGGAGTGCTTGGTCAGTTTCACGCTGCTCCATGCAACCAACTCCATTCTACCCTGCTCTGAACAGTCATGGGAAGAATCTCCATGTTGGAGGCGAACAGGAAAAATAAAACTACTCTGGAGGGACACTGAGGTTCAATCTTTAGAATGAAAAGGTAGCTGGTGGCCACTGTGATAATTAGTCAATGACATCGACCACAGCGTGGTATCTTAGACGCCACTGATATAAAAGTAAAATCTAAATTTTAGCACGAGCAAAACTACTCCCCCCTCATCCCTTCACTCTCTGCCTCTCACACCCCTTCAAAAAAAAAAAAAGAAAACTTAAACCTTCAATACAATCCTGGCATTTCACATGCAAAATTTTTGAAAGGCCCCCTAGGTTGGATCCTGCAATTTAGGGTTTGTCAACTGTGTGCATCCCAATTTGAAAAGCATGAGGAATGGAGACGAGACAGAGGTGACAAGGCTACATTCTACACTGTGACAGGACACCATGACATAGACCGTGTCAGCTCCTACCTGGAACATGGAAATGTTTAGGGGCCTGAACGTAAGTTGGAGTTAGAGGGCGGCTGTCTGGCCGGTGGGGGAGAGGGGAGTTCCGGCCGCTGGACGGCTCATTGCCTCCAATGAGAAGAATGGAGAAAACAAAATGAGAGGAGGGACAGCAATAAAGAAAACAAAGCGTGCTAATAAAAATTCAAAACAACAAACGGGGAGGAGGTACATTAAAGAGGAGGAACAAAAGAAATAAACTCAACTTATCAACTTGGCTCGCAAGGGGGATACAGGGTTTCATTTTCCGAGAGATTTGAATTCAAATAACGAGGTTCAAGCAGCCAGCAGTAAGATGCGTCATTCCAATGGCATGTGGTAGGAGGCTGTGAGCAGGCAGCACGGCGGGCGGATGGGAGGTTCGTTAAGAGGAATGGAAAGGCACTAGCTAATGATCTGGGATCAGTTGTTGGGTGGTTAAAATCCCAAGCATGTGAAGGACTGGGATATGCAAACCCAAATACAATCCAGGCATGATGGCAGGGGCTGGTGATCGGAACGTATTTCTTTGAACGGAAGACTGAGTCTGGGAACTGGTGTGGTCGCCCAGTCCTTCCCCTTAGCAACGCAGGATGCCTTCGTCACAGCATTATGTTCTGTTTCCTCACTTGGAAATGCACCACCAGATGGGTCAGACCCCTTCCTTCCAGGTACTGTGGGCCATTTACACCTCTTTCCATCTTTCTCTTCAAAGATGAGGCTCCCCCCAGCCTAATAATTGTATCGGTGGAACATTTACTGAACACCTGCTATGCTGGGCCCTGACTTATGACACAGGATAAGTAGATGAGATTTAGTCTCTGCCCTCAAGGGTCTACCTAAGGGGACAGACTTAAGACACATAAAAATTATGACACTCAGGTAAAGGAGTGCACCACCAATTCTTCAGGAAAGCTACAGAGAGATATCAGAACTGAGCAGAGCACGGGAGAGTAAGCTCACCAGGTGGGTGGAGGGCTCAGGTTCCAATGGGCTGGAGCATTGTGGGGAAGCAGGGATGGAAGGGCCGTAGTGGGAGGGGACAGCAGGACTGGCCACTGCGGCTGGAGAGCATGGTGTTTGGGGAGGAGAGGATTGCTGGGGCTTGGCTGTCATAGCCTCAAGTGCCACTAAGCCACCACCCCTCCCTCTGACCCTGAGAACCGCAGGGATGCACTGGGAATGAGGAGAAGTTAGAACGAGATCCGCTACTGCTCTAAATGGTCCCCCTTCCCCGAGTGTGGGCAGACACCTGGCCCAAGAACAAACCAGAGACCTAGGACTATCAAAAGTCAATGATTAGTAATGCAGTTTTGTTATGATTGCAGTGTCGGTGTTCTTTATATTTTTTGGACATAAGTCCCTGATCAGATATATGACTGGCAAAGATTTTCCCCCCATGCTGTGGGTTGTCTTTAACTTTCTTGATAGTATCCTTTGAAGCACAAGTTTTAAATTTTGATAAAGACCAATTTACATGTCTATTAGTGTGGACAAGTTTAAATAAATTATAGAAATTCAACAAATAGAGTATGGACCAATTTTTCCACTGTCTTTATTTTTTTTAATGAGATATAATTGACATAAAACACTGCATTAGTTTTAGACATACAAGAGCCAATTTCTTTAAGTAGGTTAAACTGTTCTAAATCTGGCTGGCAAAAAAAGAAATATGTCAACTACTGGAGTTTCAAAACAACATGCTTCATGACATTTTAATTTCTAAGTATGTATATTTTTAGGGCACTAGATCACAGATCTGTACCGAATAGGTAGAAAATATTTCAGGTGTGAAACATGAATTTGTTAACTGGCTCAAATATATATTCGAGGTTTTTGGTTTTCATGTTCTAAAACTTCTGTATTTTTCCCCCCTCAAGTCCCCTTTGCATTTGGCTCCTAGTAATGATAGACTTTATTACTTAAGTCAGACATTAGCTTCTAAAAGTTACGAAGCTTCACTCCAAACTGCTGATCTATTAAAAAGCTCATTTCAAAAAATGAAATCTCATTTACCATCACTCTCCTAAAGAGAAATAATCAGTTCATGTCTAAAAAAAATGAGTATAATTAACACAGGTACAGGCAAGAAGGGGGGGAAGAATATGGTTTATGTTTAGAAGAAAACCCTATTTTAAGTCTAAGGAAGAATTAGAACAAGGTCTCCCTCATTTCCGTGTGTTCAGCATAGCGCCTGGCTGAGAGCGAGGGCTTGGTAAATGTCTTTACATGAATAATTGAAGGAGGCCCATGAATTAGTCCCACAGCTGTTAATGGCCTAGTGCAGTAAGCATCACTGAGGATTAACCATCATCTTTCTCTTAATTAAAGGCAGCAATGGGCTCACAATCCCACCCCGTTTTTATAACTTTCCAATTGGAGTTGATCCTCAATAACCCCAATTTAATTGTTCCATTTCAGAAGAATTTTTTACTCCTAAAAACATTAGAAATTATTCAGATGAGCAACCCATAGCTGAAAAACAGAATAACTCTTGTGGGCTATTCCCAAAAGAAGTTCTAGAGAGATGCAACTTTCTCCCTCTCTCTGAGTTTGCCCTTTGAAGACCCTTTCCCAGACTCTGAGTGCTGGCTGCTCCTGCCCTGCACCCTTCACCTCTGACCTCTCCGCACTTGTCAAAATCAGATATTTCAGGGATATGTCTGCACAGGTTTTGGTTATAATTCCCAATCAGAAGATAATTATTAGCCAGTGTCACGCACACATACAAATGTCTGCTTGTACGGGACACAAAGGTTTCAGGGTGTTGGAATTGGCACTTGCCCAAGTGCTAAAAATCTTTCTATCATTACGGTGCCCCGTTGGTGACTGGCAGTAGGAGCCCATCACGTCAGGACACAGCTGGCGACTCTGCCTTCCCACGGGTGCGCCTGGCTGAGGGCTGGCCCTGGCTGGGCGTGGTTCCTTATTTGACTGCATAGCTTCAGCAACCATTGACTTATCTCATTCCTAGACAAAGTACTAGTATGTCCAAGTCTCTGTAAGTAGATTTAACTCTGTCACCGTTTAAAACCACGCACAAAACATATTAAAATGGTAGGTAAAGAGGGACTCGGCAACGCACCCGCCTAAGTGATTCTGCACAGTCTGATTCCCATGTGTCACTAGGGCTCATTGGGAATCGGGTCTTGGGACAAGCCATAATGCTCCTAGGTACCACATTCTTAGCCCTGGAGTCATCAAAAAGGCATTGCAAAATTTTGGCATTTTTCTAAGAAAAAGAAAAATTCCCAAAATGACACCAGTTTCCAAATTTGCTAACTTAAATACTTAAAGTGGTAAAACCTTTTAACTCTATCCTGGGAAGAAATAACTGATGAGGGCCCTAAAAGGTCGTTTTTGTGCCAAGTTCATTACTTAGGTAAAGTCATGCCCGAGGCATCAGGTGAAATAGTCTGTGTGGAAGGTACCATCATCATCTACCAGCCTGGACTTCCGACATTGCTGATAAATAATATAATAATGTATATCATATAATACTGTCTACCACACTCACGGCCATTTTCTTCCATTAAATAGACTCTTATATTGGTCTACTCTAAGTTGTTAGGGATGTTAACTATCGTGATGAAAAGCTACCATATTAAAAACAATACACATGTATTTCTTGGCTTTCAGTTGTAGCCCCTCCCATGTCAAACTAATAAGCCAGTTTTCAGTCCCTGGAAGATCATTGTGTGTAGAATTATCACTGTACTTACTTAACAAACTCAAAAGCTCTGTCCTCACTTTCACTCTTCTTTTTGGCACCCTGTGTGTCTAAGTGACAGACTCTAAGACAAGGACTGAATGGGAATGGCTGCCCTTGTGTCTCCTGTGGGGACCTGCTGGAGCTTAGCTTTCCAGGCTCCAATTGCTCACACTGCAAAATTCAATGAATATTTTGAGGGGGCCTTAGAATTGGCAGTGTCTAGAATTTCATGACAGTTTCAAGATTGCTAGTTCTCGTCTAAAGCTTCCATACGTGGCCCTGGCTGGTGTGGCTCAGTGGGCTGGGCATTGCCCTACAGACTGAAGGGTCGCAGGTTTGATTTCCAGTCAGGGCACATGCCTGGGTTGCGGGTCAGGTCCCCAGTTTGGGGGAGTGTGAAAGGCAACCGATTGATGTTTCTCTTGCATATGGATGTTTCTCTCCCTCTCTTTCTCCCTCCCTTCCCCCCTCTAATAAATAAGTAAATAAATACATCTTTAAAAAATCAAGCTTCCATAAGTGCCATGGTTTCCCTCAGTGAGTGTCAAATACTTATCTGAACCGTAGCAACTCATTTGATTTGCACTTCATGGACACAGAACGTAATGTCTAACAGTATTTCAAAGGGGAGGGAAGAGAAACTCAGAAAGCACAGCACGCACAGATTCCAAGACAAAGCTGAAACAGTTCTCCCAAGCCTCCAGGCATGCACTTGCCTAAACAGTCCAGCAGCAACATGTCAATGTAGGATGAGGCCGCAAGGGAGGTGGGACGACAGAAATAAAGACGCACTTGAAAACGAGACAGACGTCACAGAAAATGGACGGGGAAGCCGATGAGACGGAGCCAGCCCGTGATGTGCGTCTCAGCTTCACACCCATGCAGGCGCCCTCCGCTCCACACACCCTGAGGACAGGCCACGTGCAGGAGAAACAAGGACCAGGAAGTGGGCTTGGGCAGTGGGGGGCAGGGCTTCGGGCTGCCAGGGAGGCCAGGGCCTCGCACTTCTAGCTCTGCCTTCCTGAGATGGTCATCCCACCCTGGGGGCCTCAAGCTCTCCAGCTTACACTTGTTTCAAAAGGTCCCCTGAGGCCGCGACACGGGCTCCAAGATAGAAAGGAAGTGTTCATGTCAGGGTTAGGGAAGGGCCAAGGGAAACCTGGGGTACTCTGCCTGTGTGTTTCTCAAGTGGCCATAAGTCCCCTCCATTCTGAAACTTCCAAATGCTGGAGAGGTCTGCCTTGTACATGGATGCCCGTTTTCACGATAACCAAGATGTCATTCTTTGGAGAACCAGCATCTAGCCATTCAACGATACTAGGCTTTTAAATCAATGTAGTTAATACACAAATTCTCCATGATTCATGTAGTTTAGCGGAAGCTCATCAACTTTAAAACTAAGCATATGCTCTGATGTGCATTGTATTTACTATCTGAGGTAGATGAACAGTTTCATATGAACAAACTACAGGTGTACATCCAGTGAAAAGAAAAGGGGAAAGAGATTATTAGATGGCTTTTTAAGTATAAATTCAGGGTCATGCCAATCCCTCTTGGCCTAATGTGTTTTATAATTTAAATCCATATTATTTGAGTCAAAAATGTCAAATTCAGACTGAAAAGAGAAAACAAAGTATATCCATATTTTTTCAATGAAGCATCACCGAGGCACACAGAGGTGCTATAATGTTTATAACTATTTGATATTTCTTTTGAAAAGTAAGAAACTGTTAATTTTGTAATTTACGTGACTGAAGTAGCTGTTTGCCTTAGCCTCAATAAGAATGCAATTTTCTAGTGGAAAATAAAAGTTTGCTTTGAAAACTTACACTCTATGTATATTTTGTACTGAAATGCACACACTGCGTCTGCACAAGGGACAGGTGGGCCCGGGGTCTGGTCCCACAGCTGCCGCTTCCTGGCTGCGAGCCCTGGGCCAGGAGGCTGACCCAGAGCCTCAGCTCTTCCCCTCCACCTGGGCCCACCTCACAGGGCTGCTGCAGGGAGCGAACGGGATGATGGGAAGTGCTTTAACAGCACCCTGATGGGGCCAGTGACACTCACAGAGTTGCGTCAACAATCCCACAGGGTCCTCAGCTAGCAAGTGGCAGAGATGATACTCAAACCCTGGACTCTGGTGTCCATCCAGCTCTCCATAAGCTGGCTCACTGACTTCAGGTACCAAGACTCTAGGTAAGTCTTGATATTCTTGTGATCTGTTATTTGCACAAACTTTGTATAACTTTATAGAGCACATGGCAGTTTTCTTTCAACAAAAAGGTTTCTCTTCTGAAAGACGAAGCCCAGCCAAACATGGCAGTCTATCCATCATGGATTAAAAATGTATTTTCTCTTGCATATTAAAAACAAGCAAACAAAAATCTGGATTTAGCCAAGGGCTTCTATATTAAAGTCTCTTTAAAATACGTCTCCAAAGTTTTTTTCAGTATGTCCTACGGTTTTATAAACATTGTCTAAGCCATCATCTTGACATCTAGATAAAAGCTTTTTTCCTTCAAAACACTCACTAGCAATAATCAGTTTAAGTGATCTGTCAAGAATTTTAGAAAGCGCTGCATCTACCAAAAAACACTGATCTCTTTGTTCATAAAAATAGTGCATCTTCAATACGTATGTCAGCAATATCATTTTTACAGTACAGAAAAGGCCAAAATAGCACACATCAAATGACTGCATGCTCATCAGTACAACACGTCTGTATTCAGTTGCTCAAAAATCCAAGGGAGCAAAAAGCAAATAGCTTGGGTAGGCGGCAAGTGATCTTGCAAATGCAACAGCGTTTAGGCCACAGAAGGGAAGTGTTAGTCATGTGAGCGCTCGGAGCCCGCAGGGTGGGAGTCCTTGAGCACTGGCTTAAGACCCCTGACGACATCTGCGCTTGCCTGTTCCTCCCTTCTCAGCTACTTTCATGGGTTCATCTGGTTCACATCAAGACTATGGAAAAAGTTAACATCCTTCTGGGGGCGCACATTTACTTTATTTATTTCCTACCCCTTTGGGGCTCTCGGCTTCCCCGATGCACAGAGGCACAATGGCCAATGAAGAAAAGAGTGGGCATCCCACACAGGGCACGGGCAGAACTGCAGGGCAGGGAACTGGGGCCAGTCGAAAGCAGACGACTCCTTCAGCTCAAACCGAGAGGTTTAAGTCACACGGCCATAGAGCTTTCTTATACAGTCTGAACGTTTTAATGTTGTTAAGTGGTTAAGAGGCTTCACCAGTAAGGCAATTTTTGAATAGCTATTGCTAAATACTTTTGGGTTTTGCTGAGTCACCTCACATATTAAAACCAGGCAAATACCCCAGCTACATATTACATTTTGCTTTGACATACAGAAACAAAAAATAATAATATATATTTTTCCGAGGAGTCGATAACAAGACATACTTCCTGTTTCTTCAGTGAGAGCCCTTAGAAGTGACATGTGTCTCTGAACCAGAGAGGCCATGTCAGTTCTAAGTCACCACTCGGTGTAGTCATGGCGCACGCAGGCATGCGGAGAGGTCGAAAGCTCAGAGCTGACTCTTGGAGATACACCTTATTAGCCTTCCCGGGTGCTAATAAATCTCCTCTATGCGGGTGCTGCCTGGAGAAGCCTGCCTCCTTACCTTTGACATGGGGAATGAAGTGGTGTCGGAAGGGGGAGTTGGGGCGGGAGTCGCTGTGGGCGGAGCTGAGGCTGCTGGTGCGCAGGTAGGACAACCTCTGCACACCAGGAGACAGCAGCTCTGTGCGCAGGGAGGCGGGGCGGGGCGGGCGGAGACAGAAAAGAAGAACAGAAATTAACACAGGAGCAGGGACAACGGCATCGTTCCAAAGCGGGAAAAAATAAAGACGGTTAATCAGGAGTCTGAAAAAGGAGGAAGGCAGAAGGGTTAAGAATGCACCTGTGCAGGGTTAGGCCAAGTGGGGAGAGTTTGCAAACACATAGGTTCAGGTCAGTACAGAGTCACTCGCTGGGAATAAATGGCTTTAGCGAGAAGGAACGCCACCAGGACACCCTTTGTCAGATGGACACCAGCTACCACCGGTCAGCCAGTGCTGGGGACATCCTTGCAACTCAAAGGCAGCTGTTTTTAAAAAGCAACCGACAAACCAGAACTCTCTGAAACCCACGTAAAAAAAATGACGGTCATTTCAAGAACCTTGAAAAAAAAGACTCAGAGGTAAGGGTCAGATTCTTTTTTTTTTTAAGCTGCAAACTTCTCCCACTGGAAGTTTAATTTTACTTTGCATACATAGAACAACAACAACAAGAACAGCAAACCCAACCCTGTTTGTGTTCCCTGGTGTCAAAGAGCTGCTTGTCACCCTGACACCTGGGTGGAGGCTGCACCGTTCTCTCGGAAGGACACTGCACACTAAAGCGAACCCGGGCCCAGAGAAGCGCATTACCACCTGGTGTCTAGAACTTATGGAGTGGGAAGTTCGGGGTGCTCTGTACAGACCCCAAATAGGCTATCAGAACCCCACCAGCTTCACTTTACAGGTTTAGTCCCCCCAAAATATTTATAAACCCTGCTAATTGGCATCGTGCACACCTGCCGCATGCTGTGGAGGGAGCGGAGGAGGGACACTTGGATCGAGGAATTTCTACGGTTACTGACGGGAGAACCACGACTGTGACAGATCAAACTTCCTAGTGCTTGGCTGGGACAGGACCGTTCAGGGAAACACTGTCCCCAACTGTCCCTCACCATTCAGAGGTCTTGGGGACACTTTCCTGGCAACCCGGGGTCATTCCGACAAGGCCATGGCTGGGGTCCCAGTGACCTCAGGGATGTGCCCAAACACAGGGCTGGCAGCATAAAGGAATTCTTGTCACTCCAATAGACAAGGGCCCAGGGCATGAATGAAATACAGCTGTGCATAAAAAGAGAAAGGAATCCATTTCCTGAAAGTTCTCATTAACTTTAATATGAAAGTGTAACTCAACAAATACTGAGTAAATATTTACGAGCCTAGAGAAAAGATATATTCTTAAAGGATCAAATAATAAAAATTCAATCCTCTACAAGCATTAAATATCTATGGCTTTAAAGAAAATATTTGCAGCCCTTTAACATTTTATTCATTTCTCTTGGTGTTACTTTATAAAGTCAGTTAGCAAATAAGTGGGCTTGTTCTCATCAGCTTGGGTAGAAGCGAGGCACTTAAAATGAAGTTTCCATGGATGTACGCTATTTCTGCTGAGTTTGGGGAAAAGGCCCAAACCTTCCTTTGGGAATCCACTTCTAGGGGAATTCTGGGTCTGCGCTGGGATGCCCCATTCCTTTTTGACTCCATGTATGAGACACCCACAAATAGGGACCAAAAGGTCAACTGAAGTCTACTACTGCTTCATATTCTCTATCGCAGTACCTCTCTGATGATTTTGTTTTCTAAATCTGATTCAAAACCTCAGGGTCGGAATGGATCGTGAAAGTTACATACACCCCCGAGCTTGTGTACAATACTTGATTTCAGGAGGTGCTTAACCTGGCGTGCTTGCTACCACCACCAGCCCGGGTAAGGGAAATGTACCAGACCGCCAGCCAGTGGCGGATACTGGGTCTCTAGATAACGCCAGCATGCCTAAAAAACACACCAAATATTTTCTTTTGGAGACCTTCATTTTAAGTCTAAAAGTGATGAGATTTGGTTCAAAACTAAAAAAACAAACAAAAAAACAACCCCCCAAACTTCCTTTGTTTCTAGTCATTCCCTGTCAAAAATGTCATTATTTAAGAAATCATAATGCATACAAGCATAAAATAACTGTTTCAAGAAGAGATACAACACAAACTGTAGTTGGTTATGAGTTTTCTTTCTTTTTTTTTCCCTGCAAGAGGGGTATGTATCTGGCAGCCAGCTCTCAGGGCTGGGGGCAAAACTATCACCCAGAAATGCAGTGTCCCGTGGAGCGAGGCCCTTACCAGGTCTGTGAAAATGCTGCGGAGAGCGGGATGTGGTTGGAGTGTAGCTGTGGCGGCTGTACACGGGGGAGTTGATGGAGCCCTGGCTGGTGGACCGGTGGATCATCCGGTCCCGGACGTCCTGGTACCCCTGGAAACGCAGTGCGAGGAAGTGTGAGCACCAAAGCTATTTCCACGTTCGAGTGACAGTGAGTTCCATGGAAGTCACCGGGGGCTGTCATGCCCACCTGCTCATGGACACATTTTAGGGCCATATTCCCTAGATATCATGCAAGGAGCACCTTGTTCGAGACCTCTGGCACTTGCATTTACCGGAATTTTAACATGGAAAAATGACAAACTTCGATGCTGATGGGGTAAGAGAGAATAACCCCAAAGACTGTGTTTATATGGGGTGTTTTGGTTTTATAACGTGTGTCCACCTATGTTGCTTCATCAGATCCGCATGGTAAGGAAGGAAGGATGTGTGCTGTTCCCTCTCTTTCCCACAAATGAAGAATGTTTTGGAAGGTTCTGAGCAGGTCAGAGACCCGTGTGTCCATGTGTAGCTTGTACAGGCAGAGCCTGCTTAATCCCGCCCTGTGTTCTGACCACTAGCCCACACTGCCCGTGACATTGACCTGGTGACATTTAAGTTGATTTTCCTGGTGAACAAGCTGGGGTGGCCTCGAACCCAGGAAGGAATTCTACTTTCCATGCTGGGAAATATATTCCAAGGAAATAATACAAAGTGATGTTTAAAAATTTATCCAAGGATATTTATAATGCCACCATTTATGAGGATAAAACTTCGTATTACGTGCTCAACGAATTGGGGAATAATTAAGTAAATTAGGGCAACATCAATTCCATGGAATATAATAACACCACTGGCATGTCTCCTGTGTCCAAATCTAGAAGATATGTTAGGTATTCAATACAAAAAATCAAATGTAAACATAATATATATGAATTAGGAGAGTACTAGAATGTTTTGCATTTTAAGAATTTGTCGACCACTGAAGTGTTTGCTAACATGATGCATGTTTGGAAGCAAGTGTCAAAGGTGACTATTTTAACACCTCAGTAGCCGTGGCTACTGTGTGAAATCAGGCAGCAAATGTCAAAGAGGCTTTGGTTTGATCCCAGCTCACTGTGCCGATAAATCCAGTAAAAACAACAATGAAACAGAAAGTCCCCAACTAACGTGCCCGAATCTTGCCACTGGGCAATAGCAGAAGTTCTTCACAGCTTCAGTTGTAATGATCAGAATACTAATAGAAATCAATTACTCATAGGACCTAGACCAGGGTCTGGCTGTTTTTACCCCGTAGGCTCCACTGAAAGAGGAATTTACTGCTGTGTCTTACAGTCGTATCTTACATGAAGAAGTCCTACGTTCATCCTGGTCTTACACACAGTTTTCCTGTTTTGTTTTATTGAATGTCCTTTCTCCAAAAGTCCAGTCTAGGAAAGATCCAAGTGACTCCCCAATTCTATTTATTATAATTTTCAAAAATGGTACTTACTTCTGCTGATGGGGTAGGAGACAAAGTCCTCGGAGACTAGAAGAAGAAGAGAGAATTTAAAATCACAATGTATATTTGTTTAACAGTTGTAATTACTGGTGTTTATCAGCATCACCTGGAGACATTACTGAACCTCAGGCCAGCGCCCCCTACTGGTGCCCTGATGTGGAACCTGAGAGCGGGGCTCCGAGGGGCACACACGAAGGGAGCTCCTGGGTGACCGGGTGCATGTCGCTGCCTGAGAACCACAGGTTCTGACAAATGGCTGTGATGCCCTAGGCAACTAAACTAGACAGATCGGAATTATGTCCTCTATTTTGTCCAAGTCTGCTGTTTACTACTTATGAGTTCCAGTGTCTGCCGAGACGCACAATTTTGCAAACAGGAACCTTGACTAAGTTATAACCACAGCGATCACAGGAAATAGTCTGATGACTGACACAGGCCTGCAGGGCCCAGGTCTGTGGCTTTCTGTCCTGATGGCCCTGCCAGCCTCACCGCCTTTCAGCTTCAGGCTTCCAGCCTTCCAGGCACCCAGGCTTCCCTGGGGCCACCCATGGGCCACGGGCCAATGTGTCCTCTCTGTCCCATCTGCCAGCAGGGCTCATGCCGCATCTTCAGGGGGGTCTCTACAAAACGCGCCACCACGCAGTGCCTTCCGTGACTCTCCTGTTTACAGTAGCGACGCAGCCCCAGTGTGCATTCTCCCCGCCCTTCCATTTCCCTCATAGCACTATCGCCCTGTGAAATGAGACTGCGCATCTGTCCGCCCCTCTCCCTGCAAGTTCCAGGAGGGTAAGGACTCCACTCAGTTGCAACTAAGCGTTCCCAGTGACTAGAGCCGCTCCTGGTGTACATTAGGGACTCAACCGAGATTTCCTAAGTGAATGAATGAAATGTTTACCATGAAAGTGCAAAAATGACTTTAAGTAGAAATGAAGAGAACAAAGCATGCTGAAAAACATGCCCTGTGGTGGGTTTCCCTGTTTCAGAATTTGCCCCTTTCTCCAAACTTGCCAGAAGCGGCTGCACTCTCTGGGGCTCCAGGCTTCCTCAAGCCCGGTGACCCGCCTGCATCGACGGCTGTCTCTGGGGCTCCCTGGGGCCCTGGGTCAGGCCTGCCCCTGCCGAGGGGGCTTCTGGACCCACCCTACTCCTGTTTCCTGACGGCACACAGAATTCCAAGTTGCAGTGTTTCTAAAGTGTCATTGTGAGGATTCTATGAGAAAGGTGTTAGTAACAAAAGGAATGCATAGTCAAAGAGCTTAAAAAATGTTTTCTAAGTTGGAAGTTCCACGTGCTGGGAAGAGTTCACTAATATGCCTGGTTTCTGATCTGGGGACCCCTCCCAGTTACAATAATAACCATGCTGGTTATGACAGCAGCCAGCATTTTTGTCATGTTCTAATTAGGTGCCAGGTATTGTTGTAATATAAATGTTTTACTTAATTCTTACAGAAAACCTCTAAGGTGTTATTACCATCTTGAGTTGTCAAATAAGGAGGCTGAAATATGTAATTTTCCAGAGTCTTATGGTAAGCAAATAAACATCAGACTGGTTTCAAGCCCAGAAATGTTCCATTCAAAGTACAAGCTCTTGAGTTCTTACATTTTACTGCCCCCAATGCAGCCCCGGGGAAACACAGAAACATACACCCCCTCAAACCCTAAACACCGTACAGTCTCCCCTTGCTTGTATGACTTTAACACTAGAAAATTCTCACCCACTTGCTCCAGGATCAGCCCCTGTGCACCCGGTTCAAGAATCTCCCTTCCCCCTTTTCCCCTATTCAACTCTGCAGAGCCCAATGGCAACTGAGTAACGCAGGCCAGCCAGCCTGCACCTGAGTGGCCGCAATGCAGCTACAGCAATGTGACCAGCAGGTGGCAGCACATGAAAACGGACATCGCTTCGCGGCCCAAAGGACCATGTCAATGCAGAGCTATTCTCTGGAGTAAGACCCAGATGGGAAAAAGGTTATACCTATAAATAAATATAACTATAAATGTAAAATACATATTATATATAGTTGTGAACAAATTAAACAAAATCAGCACATTGTCATGCCCTTTCTCCATCTAAGATCTCAAAGCACTGTGTGACTTTACACAGTTTACAGTCTTGTTTTAACTTCGGTTGAACAACTGATTTCAGACCGTTACTTAAGCAACATATCTCTGAGTGGGCGCAAACTAGTCTATAGATGATTCCAATTAAAACATAAAAGGGGAAAATTTGCAGGGAAAAAATAACTTAGGCCAAGGGAAAGAGCCCAGGGTACCCGAGTAGGAAGTGACAACAGGACCCTCTGCCCCCTGAAAGGGGACGAGAAGACCCTGTGGACTCAGAGGCGCAGGCCTGGCCACAGGATGGGTCTGGTGCGAGAGCGTGACAAACCCCAGGAGGACCTGTATGAACAGCAGGAATAGCTGCCGTTTGCTCAATATTTACCACAGTTCTGGCTCTCTGCTCATTGCTTCAATAGATTAGTTCATATAAATTAGCTTTAATAGTAATAAGTTATCTAGGTGTTTTATATAAATTTATATCTAGGTGTTTTCATATGTATATAAAATCATCCGTCGACACTCGATTTACTCCTTACTATCTCACCCTACGAGGAAGATGCTGTCATTATCCCGATTTACAGATGAAGAAACTGGCACCAGAATGGTTGTCACGCAAAGTCACTCAACCAGCACGTGGAGTCCCCAGGGTAAGCCGGTAAGTTGATTCCAGAATCCTGGCTCATACACGGTCCTATACTGACTCCATCCTCTCCATTTCCCCCCTCTGTTTGCACATTCTAAGTATGTGACTAAGCTAAAAACTTCAGCTATCAAAATTTAGGGGGTGTGCTCTCTCTCCTCATGATCCATTACAGTTCCGTTTGCTCTGAGACCAAGACCCCCCACTCCCAGGAGACCCTCCCTCCCTCATGCCTTCTGCACAGCTCACAAACTCTCCCCTGACAACCGTGGCTTCCTGCTCAGCACGCCACCTCCACTCCCCCGCAACCTGGGGCGAACTGGTATTTGCCCTTCACTGCTGTTTTCTGTGCGGTTGGCCTGCTCCCCTTCCTCTCTGCAGCCTCCTGAGGGCAGGAGTAGGGTGTTGAGCCCCTCCAAGCACCTGGAAGGAAAGGCTGCGGTGCTCAACCCGAAGGACCCTCTGACTCACCTGGACTCCAGTCAGTAGTTCTCACGCATGTGACAAGAGAGATGTAAGTTGTTGTACGACTCGTAACTTCTAGGAACTTCTTACCTCTCCCAGGCTCTGTCTCTCCTGTTTGTCATCATAGCCTGAAGTGTAGAAAGGCTCATAGGTAATAAGGTCTGGGCGTTCAATGTCATAAATTGCCTTGACCTTGGGAATGGCTGCCAAATCCTTGTAATCCAGGATTTCGTTGTCCACTTTTGCCTGGCAAAGAACGAAAAGCAAAGTTATTTGGCCATCTCACCTTCGGGGAATTATTGTCTGTGCCTTCCCTCACTTGCTTTTGGAAGTGACAACCTTAAAAATAAAACCTCAAACACTTTGCTTAGCACTGTCGAACTCTCTAGAAAGTGGCCCATTTATACCACATATTAATTACCTTACAAAACACATCACCTAAAGCTTGGGGAAAAGTCTATGTAGTGTTCATCCAGTGTGAAAGCCTACACACCTTCAGGGTAATTCCCTAAATTTATTCTGGAGAAGGAAAACCCAAACAGATGGTCAAAAAAGTCTTCCTAGATGACTCAACACAAGAACTGCGTATTTAATGAACTAAATATTTAAATACCTTTGTGGCAGATTTTAAGAACATCCGGTATCAGCATTATAAAGTGTACAATCAACCCCCAAATACCTATATGCAAGCCAGGCGCAACAATGTCTTCAGTCCTGCATTGTGTTACTGCATCTTACAGGGGGCATGTACTTGACCGCCCTGCTGATGCTCACATTCACAGGTGGATCTAAGTACCTGAGCGAGAGCATGATGGAGGGGGCTGATTGACAAAAACGAAAACCGGACCTCAGAACAGAAATAGAAGTCGTTTTACGTTATTCTGTTTCGGGTTACCCACTCCACTGTTGCGCTCTGCTACCTTGCCGGTCCCAGAAGAGCCTCTTCCGCAAGTAGATACTCACATAGATAGTGTGCCCGGGGGACCCGGGGATACTGGAGCCTGGTCTGGAGTAAATGCTTTCCGAGGAAGTCCTGGTGGGCTGTAAGATAAACAGTGACTGCTAAGGTCTCAGACCATGGCTTCGGATTCCAGGCTGGCCTGCCTCCCTGAGCTTTGCTAAACACTAAGCTGGTTAATAAAAGATTTGTGACTTTTCTGAATAAGGGAAGATGGAACCCAGAGAGAAAGATAAATGAGAACTAGTTTGGTCGGCCTTAAGAATGCAGTCGGGGCTTTTCTTTTTACCTTCATGTCCCTGTCCCCGTCAAGACCTGGCTGTGCCTTCAAGCACATTTCTCTTTGCGTCGCCACAATCCCCAGGTGCAACCTGTGTCTCCACTGCCACCGTGCCCTCCTCTGTGGGTTTCCTGCCTTCGCTTCTACCCTCTTCAAATCTACTTGGCACCCCGTGCACAGAGAACTCTTTGAAGAATATCGTTTGGATTGTCACCATCCTGCTTTGGCTTCACTGTCCGCTTATAACAAAAACCCCAGCTCCCAGGGCCTCAGGGTTTTGGCCCTGCCTTCCCCTCCTACCATCACTCATGAGCCACCACGACTCCCTGAACACGTGCATGGCCCTGAGTCTGGGCGCTGATGCCTGCTGCCCGCTCCATCTGGAAGGCCCTGATCCTCAGTCTTCCTCAGTTGATTTCTTTCTCCTACAGTATTAGCTTAAATATCACCTCCTCAAAGAAGCCCTCCCTGATCGCCCAATCTGGAGTTGGTTTCTCTAGTTATTTTTTCCTGGATTTTCTTACTCTCTTTCATGAGTGAAATGTCTAATTTCATGTTTATTAGTTTTCTTGCATGAAGTCTATCTCTCTCATTAACTGGAGTTATACCCTCTGCCCTCACAGGGTTTTTTTCAGGGTTCATATTTTTTCAAATATGCCCAAAGAGGATGTACATATTTGTTGAAGGAAGGAGCTAGAATTTATTGAGGTAAACAAATACTCAGTTTGTGGACACTTGACTCATATTAATTACATGACTTGAGGCTGACCACACAGGGAGTCATTCAAATGAGGTTAGTGGTCAACCACTAGGGAGGATTTAAAAAAAACAAAACAAAACTGGACTTTGCCACATCTGCTGAGAGACAGCCTGTGGTTATAGGAACAGGAGGGACACTCTGCCGAGAAAGCCAAAGGCCCAGGTGGCCTTGGAGGACTCGCCCCCCTGCACAGCTCTTCCTGGGAGAAACTAACTTGTATAGTTCCACTCCAGGGAAAGGACCTTTTCCCCTTTGTTATGGTTTCTGATATTTAGCACCGTGAACGTGAATGCTGCTGAGCCAAAAGAACTTCTGAAAACAGGGGTGTTGCATCACTAATTCCCATCCGAGACAACGAAAGCCGGCCTGCCCGGCCAGCTCAAGGCTGGCAGTGACTAGACTCACGCTAACAGTAAGATTAACCGTCTTGGCCAGCGTCTCTGGTGTCTGCAGTTCTGGGCTGGACAGACTTGGGGACCTTAGACTGTGTGCACGTGGACGGGTGCGGGGCTCATGGCACCTGTCCCTCCTCCCCAAGACCTGCTGCGTGCAGGCCCTTCCTCCTAGTGCTACAATGTTCCAACCATAGTCGTATCTCAGTGTGGGACAATCCCAATTCTGAGCATATTGAAAAAGAAAGGATTCATGTAACACCACCACTCGAAAAGTCCAATTCCTCAACCCCTTTCCTGATCAAAACATAGAAGTGACAGGAGGTGTGGCCCTCCTTCAAAAGGAGAGGCCAGCCCTTAGCGGAGATGAGCCAACAGGCACCTCTGGGCAACACTGATTAACTCCAGGCAGTCCACAGCCTCAAATGACCGGGAGCTCCCACGTGCCAAACCCAACATCGAAACGAAGCAACAACACGAGAATGCTAGTAGCAGGCAGTATTTACTGCCCACTCGCTACGCGGCAGGCTCCCCCGGGCCCTTCCAAGGTGTGGTCCCATCTAATCCTCTCAATGGCCCTGTGCTCCGAGCCACGCAGGCGGGCCAGTACCAGGATCTGAACCCCGGAGACCGAGCCCAGGCTCTAACCTGCACTGACATTTCCCCCACAGCGTAAGGTACTGTGACCATTTATTTCCCAACAGCACAGCCCAGGGACAAATGAGGTGGGAACGAGGAAAAACACTGAGATGGAGTAGCAGAAAGGAGTGCCGGCACACTAAAAATACTTTCACTGCCATTGGCTCTAGAAGAACCACGCACTAGCTCATGTGTTATTGGGATGGGGTGAGAATGCCACACTAGCTGTGTGTTGTTGGGGTGGGGTGAGGACCCTGTATTAGCTGTGTGTTGTTGGGGTGGGGTGCGCCCCCCACACTCACTCGAGATGCTGGGGTGGGGTAGAAGAGGATGCAGGACAGTCAGATGTCTTCAGTTACTGGCGTTGCTATGACAAAGGCCTGTTTTCATCAACAAGCAGCCAGTGCAGCGTGTGAATAACCAAGTCCACGCCGAGCTTTGGGGTCTCTCTTGTGTTACTCATCCTGACTTTTTGCCAAAGGTGGGCCAGGGACACTTCCTGCCTTTCCTGTAACAGGGCACGTGGGGATCGCTGTGAAGAGTTTTGTTCTGTCACGTGCTCCATGTGCTCATGGGGACACCGCTGGAGAATACGAGCACGCTTCAGAAGGGGTTAATGGTCTGTTCCAGGGACAAACAACCCCACCGCAGAACAGGTCCCTTGGCTGAACCAGCCTGTTCCAGCTCAGTCTCTCTCTCCCTTCCTTCTTCACCGATCAGAGGATCTGGTGGCTTACGCTGGCTTTCTCAGAAGCATTTGTCTGGTTCATTTACTAGGATTATTGGGTGAAAGGCTTTAAGAGTTGTCGAACAATCTGAATTTTTATCAAGTCACATTTGACTCTTTACATTTTAAAGTTTAAAGGTTTTTAGATCAGAATCACTTCCAATGTATATACCCGACCCCAGATTCACTGATTCCAAAACACAAACTTTGGATTTCTAGAGTCAAGTAGTTTTCGAGGTCAAGTTGATGTTCAGCAAATCCACTGATGCTCCGGCTCTTGTTGGATCGCCCACTTGGCCATGTGCATCTTCAGACTATGTAGCAGTATTTAAGGAATGTTCAAGATGCCTCTTGGAGGTTCAAACACTGCTCTTTCTTTCACTGGATTCACCACTATTTGCTTCATTCTGATCTCCCAACCTTATTGTAAAATTCACTTCCGCGGGTACATTGTTTGTGGCTGTATTATATTCCTGCTTGCCCATTTCCTGCAACAACCCTTCCCTGTTTCCTGTCTAAAATGAAATAATGGGACAAAACATAACTCTGTATAATATAATATTGTGAGGTTAAAAGGTGGTCTTTGGAGTCAAATAACTTGGTTCAAATCTCCGCTCTGCTGGTTGTGTGACATTGCAGGAGATTGTTCTTTTTCTTTCCTTTCTCTCTCTTCTCTTTGGCTTCTTCGGGCTTCAGTTTCTCCCTTTATGGACTGGAGGAAAGGGTGCTGACAGCCCCTACTCCGTCGTTCACAGGGATAAACGAGGCAATACATGCAAAGCTTCCAGTACCCTGCCGGGCACAGCGCCAACACCCCGAATTTTCATATATTTGACACGAGACTGGACTTCTCGGCCGGTTATCACAAACGCAGAAGGACAGTACCAGCTGCGTTTTGCTCCTCACGGGAGGACCGGGCTTTCTGACGTGAGCTGCCTAGAACTGGACTAGATTTCCCTAGAGTTCTCGACAGCTACCACCTAGGTGTCCCCACTGCCACACTGGAACTCAGACAGGTTACTTGTCACAGTACACGGGGCAGCAGTGCCACCTGGGGTTGACAGATGTCCTTCCCCTTCTTGAGAATGTCACTGGGAAGTGATTCTGTATCCTCCCGAGACAGAGACTGCCTGCTCCGGTCTCAGCGTTAGTAATTAACTGGCGCCCTTCTGCGCCGGGTGGGGGGGACCTTGCCCAGCAGCCGGGCCCAGCCCTGGCTTGTTGCCTCTTGATCTGTGCCCACGGCTTACCCAGCACACATGGGCCGCCTGCTTTCTGTCACATTCCCTCACGGCTCCCGAAGTGCGTGTGCTCCATTGAGACAGATCAGGGTGGCCTCTCCCTTATGCAGATAATAAAAATACTTCTGAAAACTGAACTACCATTTTAGTTAAATATTGGGACCTGCACATTTCAGTTCTAAACACTTAGAATTTTAACATGTAGAATTTGAAATAAACATCTTGTTTATTATTAAAAGAATCCTTTTTATTCTTCTAGCTGTATTTTTCCTCCTAATTTTTTAAATTCTCCCCAAGGACACTTTTCATTGATTTTAGAGGGAGGGGAAGGGAAAGAGAGACAGAAACATTGATTGGTTGCTTTCTCATATGTGCCTGACCAGGGATCGAACCTGCAACCTGGGTATGTGCCCTGGCCAGGGATTGAACCTGTAACCTTTAGGTTTATAGGACAACACTCCAACCAATGGAGCCACACCAGCCAGGGCTTTCTTCCTAATTAATACACGACTTGCTGAGGGTCTCTATGGGTTAAACATCTTCAAAGGCCCTGCCTGTCTTCCAGGAGAGTAGCTCAAATCCACTCAAACCAAACTCATCTCAACCTCAAAAGCACAATTACTGACACACTTTCCCTTTTTCGAATCCCTTCATTACCACCAACTTAACTCTATGTCACCCCACTGGCCTCATGAATAATTATTTAACCTAAATTAGTATTTTGACCCATTCAGATATCCAGGCTAACAACAGTGACCCAGTAATTAGTACATGAATTCAATCATTCAATATGTCGACAGCCTTTGTTTCTGGAATCCTCTGTGAAAGTTACGATGAACAAAATTACTCTGTTGCCTGTATTACAAATGAAGATAATTTCAAACATTTATCCCTAAACACACGCCCACTTCTGTGTTCCAGGGAAAGGAAACGAGGACCTGGGACTGAGCTGTTGAAGACACGTGATCTACTTACTGCCCTTTAAGCTCCTTTCCTTCAGCTTTGCAGAAAAAAGCCAACTTGAAAGCACAGTTGAAATAATTCAGTTCTTTGCCAAACAAAAATAAAAGAGAGAGAGAGACAGACAGACAGACAGACAGAAACAAAGGGGAGGGAGAGGGAAAGGTGGAGAAGGCGTATAGATGTGGAAAGGATTACAGATCGTGACCTCTCAAAGCATCTTGCCAGTAAGATTAGTCAAATAATTCAACCCGTATTTGGCAACAGGAGGAGAGGGGCCTTCAGTAAGAATGTTCTAGTCGTGTGGAACCGTCCCCACGACCCACACTTAACTCCTCAGCCAACTGTCAAGTACTGGCTTGTGATTTCAATGAAGTTTTTTATTTTCCTAAACAAACAAATAAACAAACAAACGCAACAAAGTGAGGTCTTGCCAGAAGACTAAGTAGTTCATTTCAATGGGAAGGAGAAAAGACAGCATTTGGTTACTAACAGCGGATGATTGAAAATGCACGTCTTTTTGTTGTCTATACGAAATCTTTTTAAAAAGCCTTCTAACGACCTTTCAGCTGCCTCCCCCCTGGGCTTTGACATGGTCCCTCTGTCCCACTATTCAGAAGGAACAGTCACAAAGTGAAAATTACAGTGAAGAACTCTTATGTCTCTACTCCAGCTCCTGTCATTCTTTAAGTACTGACCGTTAAACACAAACAAACAAAAAACTCCCCAAAACTTACCGGAGCTCTACTTGGCGAGTAAGCAGAGAAATGACATTTTCCAATTACTCTCAATTATGGGCCACCATGCACACCTGGTCCCTCCTCAGGAGAGGCTGGAAGGCACTTCGCTGCCCCGCCCGCCCCCCACTCAGCAGGAGCTGGTGAGACAAAACTACGTCCATCTAATTTGCATTCACCTGAAGCCATGCTCTAAGAAGGGAGAGCGACTGCAGGCCACGGGCTACCAGATGGGGAAGCTCCCACGGGACAGCTACTGACATCAGGTGACGGACACCTCCTACCAAGTGCTGCTGCGGTCAACAGTACCTGCCTCGGGTTTTTGTGGACGTTCACTAGACCATGGGGCGACAGAAGCTGCAGAAGAAGGAATACTTTTAAAATCTGCATACATTAGCTGTCCACTCCGAGGTCAGGAAAGGGTGAAATCACTACTCTGGAAAAGGCATCTGCGTTTGAGAGGAAGGAGGAGCGGCTCAGGGGCCCAACCTTCCTTCCCTGGAGAGTTTCACAAATGCCTTCGGCCTTCACGATGGCCAGGAGGCCTCAGGGTCTCTCCAGTATAAATCTTCATGCCTATACCTCCTGAAGGATTGTAAAGACTGAAAAGAATAAAATATTTGAACAAAGAGAAAGCTGGGAATAAAGCAGTATATACTGTAGCAACCTTAATAAAACAATTAATGTTATTTCCTCGTTCTAGACATATAGAAGGCCCTAAAACTACCTCCTTTAAAAGAATATACACGTAGTATTTTTGTACACAGGGGTTAGAAAAGAGGTTCACAGTTGTTCATATGGAAAATAATACAATAATAAATAATAGTACAAGAATAACGCTGTTTTGCATACTCATAACTGTAAATCTACATTTGCCCAGCCCTGTATTGCAGGTTTGTAAGTGCACATGTAATAATAGGTGAGTGTTAGTTTCAAAAGGAACAAAAATCTCATGCCCAGTTGGTATGGGAGCCCTTTCATGCTCTAGCCTCCAAAAGGCACAGCAGAGAAGCCCCCGATTAGGATGAACACAAGTGATCCACTCGGATTATTACCACCTTGGTCCTGGGAATAAATAGCATGTGCCTTGTCTGTACTGAATGACAACAGGAATTACAAACACTCAGCTGGAGTTTTACCTGTAGACACAACTTGCTATTCACACAAAACTCTTTCAGGTAAGCAAAACTAGAGCACGGTTTTCTTACGTAATTTTATTTTCATCATTTTTTTAAAAATCTGCAATACAGCAAGAGGAAACAAGGAGTGATTTCAGGATGATGATTTTCCTCCTGTCAATTTGACTTTCCTCCACAACAAAACCAGGGCTGATTTCTGGAGCACAAAGTGCTGAATATCCCCACAAGAAACACAGCCAGTTTATCGAATAAATAAAGGTGTCTGGTACCAGTGGATGAAACGAGCTGCCGTGTAAGGACACCGTATTTAAAAAAATAAAGCTATAACTGTGTAACCTGAAAATTGCTTTGGAGTTTTCAGGCTTAAGTGTTTTGGTGAGTGTTCTTCCATGGCCGGTGGTGAAGGGGCCCTTGTCCATCGGCCTGTTCTCTCTGCCGGGCCCCAAGCTGTTTACAACTTCCTGTGATGGGGCTACAGTGGACTTCCTGGATATCATGGCTGGATAATGGGGATCAGACGCCCTTCTGAATAACGGGATAGGAAGAGAGAAGTTATTAAAGACGGATTTCCGTCTCCTAGCCCACCACGTCTCGAGATGCTCCACATCTCTTAAATTTAAGGGTCTGGAGCAAACCAAAATATTTCACACATGGCGGGGGCCTTTTTCTTCACATCATGGAAATGCGTCACTTGGCTATAGCCTTAGGCTAATAAAATGGAGCACTGTTTGAGTTATACTATTGGGGGAAAACCCCGAAAATTATTGAAAAAGCAACTTCTTGCCAAGCAGAGGTACCAATGCAGGGCAATACTCATTTGCAGCAGGGACGATCTTCGGCTGCTCCTCTGGATTCGTGAGACTATAGTTTTACTTTACGTGAAAACCCCACCCCTGGAGCTAAAGCTCTAAGAAAGAATGAAAATTGTACGACAAACACGAGTTGGAGTTCAATCCGGTGTCACGGGCCAAGGCAGCACACCCGAGGAATCTGCAGTTACGTCTTGCTGCTCGTGACCTGAGAAGCCTTGGGCTGACTTCATTCTACAGATGAAGACACGTGGGGGGCTGATGTCTGAACGTTTTTTTCCACTCTAAACTCTATACGTCTAACTGGGATTTAAATTGTGAGGAAGAGAAACCAAAACTCTCCTCGGCCTCGGTGTCGTCTAGCAGGCCCAGAGAAAAGGCGCAGGCGCAAAGCCCAGACTGAAGTGCTGGGCTGAAATCTTGACCTGTCAGCAGAGCTACACAGTGGGTTTCATCGGGGCAAACACGGGGTTGTGGAAAGTCACTTTGTCCTTTAACAGGCTGAGCTTCCAGTGGATTCTCAGAGACCCTGGGGGAAGGTCCAGTGTGTGCCAGGAACCCAATCTCCTGCCTCACCGCCCACCCAGAGGTCTGGCTGGGAATGCATCCTGCTTCTGGAGCACAGGCAGCCCGTCACGCTGCTCTTTCCTTGAACACCATGTGACTGAGCCAGAGTTTAACACGCTTCTCTTTCTGTCTTCCCAGCTTTTTTTTTTTCTCTCTCTCTCTCCTTGTGCAATAGTGGAAAGAAGAGTTATGGGCTCACAGAGACATGGGTTCCAATCCCAGCTGCTCCACTGACTTACCAGTGGTGTAACTCTAAGGAAGTTACTTAACTGGGATAGGTCTCAGTCTCTCCATCTGTATAATGGGAATAAGGATAGCTATACATAGGAATTTTTAGAAAGGGCAAGTAACACTGTAAGTAAACCTCTCCGCCTCCACAGAACAGGTGCCTGCTCTCATTTGTTTCCTTTCCTACTTCATGGCTCCTTCTTCAGCCAAACTGCCCCCCACGGAAGCTTTCCCCAGAGCCCTGCTTTTGCCATTCTCTTCAGGCTACCGGTCTCATCACCTCCACATGTTCAAATCTAGACCAGCCTCCAGAAAGTGCCCCCTTGAGACCCTTCTGCTCAGCTGACATTTCTTGATCTATGCAATCCATTTCCTGTGATATGTTTCTATGCTATTTCATAATTACTTCTCTACCTATCTTCTCTCTCCTACTGATCTATGTCTATGGCTTCCAGCCCACACGACACCTGGGTGCTTGGCAAATTATCTGTTCAGTGAACAAACGTGTGAACACAGGACCAAAAGCGTAGCTTCTAATGCATTTGCTTTAATCAAGACGATGCTTTAGCCACTGCTCTACATGAAAATGTTGGTCAGAGAAGAAAGCAGCCACAATCGGAAGGTGAGACGCACTCTGTGGGTGAGAAGCAGGAGCCAGAGAAGTTACGTGGGAAAAGCAGCGCAGGGAGGGAAAGGGACAGAAGCAAGGGCTCGGGACAGCGCCCGGGGGCCTCAGCCTAGACACAGCGCCAACCTGCAGTGACGGAGACCGTCCCGTGCGTCGGATCAGACTTTTGGGATAAAAGAAATCGGAGGAAGAATGCTGAGTGTTTGGCGGCTGCCGTGAAACATGAAAAAAGGAAAGGATGAATAAAGAAAGAAATTCAATTCAGAAACACTATTAAAAAATCCTTCAGTAAAACTAATTTGATAGTAAATGCCAAGCGTCATTGCTACAGTTGATGTATGTGGATGTGGAGGTTTGGGGACCCACATTTAAAAGCAGGTAGTGCATTTACCCACATTCCAACCCCTCTGAGACCCCTTTCCATTTACTGTGGCTGACACATTACAGATGAAGAGTAAGAAGCCAATGGAGCTGTTGCGAGATGTTCCCTTAAGAATCAGTTGTTACAAACGCCCCGTGAGTTCTCAGATATCGAGAATGTGGATTACTCAGTGGTGCTGCTGAAAGATTCTTAAAACATTTTCCTTTTGCTATGGTAACTGCTCTAATGTGACACCCAGTGAAAGGCCTGGAAATCTTGGCTCAAGATTTGTGATTGGTAGACACACCCTTAAGAGAGCACAAGATTTATTTTCTTATTCAAAAACCAATTCCCCTTTAAATCTCACCAGGTCAGCACGTACCCCACTCAGGGCACCTCAGGACCTCTTCCCCTCAGAGGGACATAACTCTCACTACTGACGTCCCGACCGTTGATGAGCCGAGGGCGGGCCTGACCTCCCAAGTGGTAAATGTGGGCTTCAGAAGAGCTTTGGAATTCTCTGGTAAGCTCCACCACAGGAAGAAAAAAAACAATAGCTCCTGTTGGCTGGAGTGAGTGTAAGAATTTCACTAGTTGTTTTCATAAGCTTATCCAGAGAGTTCCATCAAGATGCCATTAAAATTGTTGATTTAAAAAAAATCATTTTAGGAACACCATCTGCAAACTCAAGCAATCCTTTCTCTTGAAAGAGCGAGGACCGCATTCCACGCCGTCTGGCCCTGTGCGCGCTCTTGTCCTGTCTCCCAGAAGACTTCCCAGCGGGGGAAATGGCAATGATTTTACTCACAGACGGTGCGAACCCCTGGCTGCTTGGGTGGTTTTTCTGGGCAGCACCCCCAATACTGTGAACTTTCATTCTTGTGATTAAAGTGACAATAAGCACTCTTTCGTGTTCTCGTAACTTATGAAGATAACCCATTTTCGAAGCATCGGTGGTTCCTCAACAATCCCAGAAGCCGGAGCCCAGACAAGGCGACTATTCCGGCATGTGCCCGCCCGTGGATGGAACTGAGGGTTACACACCTGTGCTCAGGCGGATGCTCTCTGTACAGGCAGAAACCCACCCATCCTGACACTGGGGGCAAATTCTTTTCCAGTTTGTCTTGTCTTTACTCAGTTATTCTGAGAAAAAGTGGGTTTTTGTCTCCACTTAAAATCTATTACTACTAGGATTACATGCATCACTTCTTATGCCTGTTAATGGCAGATCACAGAGAAAGGAGACCATGCTCTAAGTCTGGACTTCCACATAGACCCAGTCCATCCTCTCCCCTGAGACTCCGAGCAGATGATTGTCCAACTCCAGTTTTCCCAAGGGGACCACTAGGTTAGCTAAATGGAGAGACTATGGTCTGGACCCAGTCTGAGCATTTCTCTGAAAACTACTGCCCAGCCCAGGTGAAAAACTGGGGCAGCCTGATCAGGGTGCAGGTTATGCTAATGACTAACAGCTGTGTACACTCGTTGCCTCTGAAGCAGATAACTTCTGGTCCCTGGGTGGTGGTCTGAGAATTGACGAAACCAGAAGGCTTTACAAGTCAGGGAGAAGGAGGGTCTATCCTTTTGCCCATGTGCTCGGAGTCCCAGGAGAGTTACCAAAATGTTCCGATGCCATGTAAGAGTTAAGTTCTAAAACCACGCAGCCTGCCTGTTCATGCTGACATGATGGGGCTCATCACTATTTCCCCAAGTCACCAGCTCTCGGAGACGGAGGCTCCTTGGGGAATTTGGACGGGAGAGGGCAGCAGAACCCACCAAGAGCTGAGTGCTGGGTTGCTGGGTTGCATTATGGACTGAGTATAAAAATGTCTGGTGAGGTGGTTGCCAGATGTTGGACAGAGAACTTCATGAATCATTTTTTTCGCATCTGTATGGTTTGACGTTTCTCTTGAATGCATCCCTAAGAATCTGACTAGTGAGGCAAGGCTTACTTGGTCCAACATAAGCATTTGGAACAAAAACTGTAATCAACTTAAGGTAGGAGAGCACCTCCTCCCCCAGCCAAATGGCCTTTCAGCATGGTCTGCTACAGAGGAAAAGAGTCACGGAAAAGTAATTTCACCCAAATTCCAGCCCTGAGAATGAGTCACTGTGAAACATATGGCCTGCAAAGGCACCTGCCGCCGCATCGCTAATTGTTTCCTTACCCGCAGCTTTTCCTCCGTCTTGGTGGATTGCTTACAGTCGGGATGCCAAACGGTGGAACCTGGAAAGACAGTGCACACTCAGAGCCAGGGCAGTGGAGCAAAGCCAGGTCAGAACCTCTGAAAAAGTGGTTCATGTCAGAACCCCCTTCGCAGCACCGGGGAGGGTGGGAGCCCCGTGCCTGCGTGAGCCAGGGCCCTCCAAGCTCCAGGTGAGTTTTCCTCCTGTCCGAGCTTGCTCCCTGAAGGTGGCAATTCTCCACCGTGGAGACCGCTCACTGGGCGCCGGAGGGCTTTTATTCAAGAGACATTTAGTTCATGGCTGGGTATTTTTTTCTAACCATATCATTATCTGTTTAAAGTAACGTCTGCGTCTTACTACAAAGCTGCATTTACTTTCGGAACAATAAGCCGCCAGCCGTGTGTACAGAACATCACAACCACCAAGCGGTTTAGGTGAGGGAAACAAAGGCAGAACAGCCTATATTCAGAGGCAGCACGCGCTGAATTGTTTTGTTGATCCAACTATACATGGTCATCTACACAAATATGGAATAGCAGACAAACGAGTAGAAAGGTTGAAAGTTAAGTTACAAATCCAAAAGTTTCCTTTATCTTGCAATCTTTAAATTCACTTTAAAAAGCCTCCACCTTACACTAGGGAAGCTACCGCTTCGGTGCCGTTTTCTGGTTCTGGGTCCATGCCTTCACTTCCTCGGAGCACAAAGTATTTTCATGGATGGTCCCAGCACTGAGCAAACCATTCCTATCCCACAGAGAGCACTTACCTTGTAGAAACGCAAGCCTACCTACCAAATTTTGCACGCCCAGATCTATCATCTATCTATCTATCTATCTATCTATCTATCTATCTATCTATCTATCTATCTATCTGACATTTATAAAATTATGGCTAAGACCTATATGTAAGGATATGTTCAAATGTGAAGATGGGCAGGAGAACCAGGAGGAGCACTTAAAAAGATTTAAGCAAGTAAAGTGACTAAGTTGAAAGTAGTGAGTAAATGACATACTGTTAATTTAATGAGTCTCTAGGAAGACCAGACTTTCTACATTTGATTACCGTAACCCTTCTCTCTTTAAACAGCCATCTGTGTGTACTTGAAAAGACATCAAATTAAAGTAATTCCTGAATTATTTTAACTATTGAGCTAAAATGGTATTACACAGAGACAAGGAAACTACATTTCACATCAGAATATTACTTTAACCCCTAATTAACAGTCATTTCTACCTGGCCCAACCCAGGGCCTAAAAGGAAGAAGACAGTCCAACACACACAAACCAGACAGACTCATGGACCCTTCAGCGCTAACACTACTCTGGACCGGCTACAAAGCACAGGAAACCCTCTTCCAGCGGAGAGCTGAGGGCCACGGGGTCAGCGCTGGGCCCAGGAGCTACATGTGCTGTGAAGGTTCTACTGATCAGAGGCAGCGGCCAGAATGCTGGGTCTGCACAGCGTCACACTGTTCTCCAGGGGTCGGGCACACGGGTACTTGGTACAGAGAGCACATCAGATGCTGGGGAAGATGAAACTGCACATTCTCCAGGGATGTGTCGAGTGGGTGAGCAAAGAGTGCCGAGGCGCGGGAAGAGATTCGCAACAATCCATCTGAACAGACAGCTGGTTATTTGCAGCGTGAATGTGCTGTGTTTGCACACAGCTGGGGATCACTCTCGATCTTCAGCTTCCAGGCCTGCAGGCTCAGCTCCTAGCAGACTCAGGGTTTACGCCTACCTGTGTGTCTTTGTTTCTGAATGCTGTAATCGACACACTAGAATCTAAAGCCCAGAGACCAAGTGAAGACTAAAGCTGCGCCATTCAGGAAGTGCACAGTGATCCCTGCCTATTGCTACTGCAGATTCACTGCCTATCTTCAGGGAAATGTCACACCACACCCAGGTGACACCAGGGATTTGGGTTGTCACTTGCCTTTTTGGGGGCCCTTCAATACTCAGTGATTTTTTTTTATCATAATATTTCAGAGTGATCATCCTACAGTTAAAAGGATGTTGGGATGTTAATTCCTCATACAGTCAGCTTTTTTAAGGGGACTGTAGCCTAAGCTTCACTTGAATATTCCAGAGCAATTTCTATAGCTGTGTAAAAAAACCCCTAAGAGCAAAGCAAACCATTCATTAAAAATACAGTGTTATGTGCAAAGAGACATGATGAAATGACATGTAAAAGCAGATGAAACCCAGTCATTACCAAAATTGAACGAGCAGTAGCTCTTATGGTTCTTGCTAATTTTACTGATAAGCCCTTGTCTATTTAATGACTCTTTTACAGCTAAAAATAGCAAAATGCTCCCACAGATGGTCCTGTTTGATAGACGAGAATCTTCCCCTGCAGCCTCTCTGAGAAGCTGCAGAAGTTTGGAGGAGAGAAAAACTAGTGATCGTCGTACACTGGAAACATTTCTTAAAATCATTTTCAATAAAAAAAAAACCAGTGGCCTCCTGATAATCCCACCAAAAACGTCTCATTTCTCTTTCAGGGATTTAGGGCGTGTTCTCTCCTTCTCCTTCACTATGAGAGCTATGTCATCTTAACGTGATGAAATATAACTGTGATGCAATTCAGCAAATATGAGATTTTCTTCTCCCTGGAAGCCAGGGCAACAGCAGCCTGGGAGGCCTCAAAACAATCCTTCTGGCAGGAGAGCGAAAGGGGAAAAGACAAAGTAGTTAGTTGTCTAGCGAGTAGCATTTCTACAAATGCTCTCTCTCTTTGATCTCTGCTTCCTTAGCAGGTTCCTGGAGAGGGCTGGGGGGAGGTGTGATCTTCACTCTTGCTTATATCCATAGCTCAAACACCTTGTCCTATTCATTTATTCCAGCAGCAACACGTTTGGTAACGGCCTCAGGGCCCACTGCCAGCATGTCAATTGCTTGGCTGATTAATACTAACCGATGAGGTAACGTTTGGCCACACTCATTTTGGACCTGGGTAGCCTTGCAGCTAATGAAATGCCTCCTTTTCTAAAAACAACCCAACAAACCAACAGCACGGAGTTTCCTCCCCTTGCAGGGCTCCTGAGCCCACCTTACCTTGAAGATACATTTCCTCTCCTTCTGTGAACATCTGGTTGCATCTGCTGCATCGTGCACAGCTGGGGTGGTAATGCTTGTCACCTGCCTGGAAGAGAAGAGGGAAGGGACATTTAGTCTACTCCTGGTCACTAAATTCAGCCTCTTTTTTGGACTCTGGGATTTGGAGGAAAAGCAAGGGTGGTGAGAAAGGAAAAATAACTGTGCCTGTGACCAAACTTCCTTCACCAACAGCCTTAGAAGCTGAAGCCAACCCCATCGGAACTGGGAGTGGCCCGAGACCATCCCTGTGCCTGACGTGATGGGGCCGACTTGCCTCTGGGGGGTGTTTGGCTTCCGGTTCTCTATTGGCTTGGGCTCTCCTGGCTGGTTTCGAGACACCACTCGTGCCTGAGATGAGTCCACTCCATCTCCCCCCCTAAAACCCACCTCAAAAACATGAACATCCACATTAATGCTCAAGGCTAATGTTGGTTTGTACTCAGGCAATAAAAGGAAAGGATTCCATTAGCAGGTTCTTGCTTTCTTAGCCAAATAGTCGGAAAACAATAAAATCTACCCAGCTTATATCAAGGTGAGAAAAACCATAGTAAAAGTCATTATTGACTGCTTCTCTCTCAGAAGGAGCCCGAATGCTCTCCTGTGCTGCTTACAATCTTTTGCCAAAATCTTGTATTAATTGTTTTCTGAAGAAGGCATTTTACTGAGATGGCTCTGCATTACCCCTGGGCATTCCATAGTCTTAAATATGACAGTTGCCATCACAGCAGGTGCTGACTTCCCCGAGGCAAAATGTCACTGGACACAGTGACAATTCTCTACACAGGTGCCGAGTCACATTAGAGTCATGCTCCAAATACATGCCTGGAAAATGAAATCTTTTTGTGGACAACAAAAACCGTGCCACCTACCAATGATCAAATGTACTCTGCAATTAAGTCACTTTATCAATAAACTAGAACGACATTTCCTTTGCTTTAACCAGGGGAAAGGCGGTGCCGAGAGCCTAGAATGAGAGGCGGCTGCACCCTGGTCCCGGAATCTCAACAGGAAGTTGGAGGCCAGAGCGACTCCTTTCTCACATGCTCCTCGAGAGAGTTCGAAAGCCACTTAGCAACCAGAGTGTGACATGGTGCTCAGCTGCTCAAGAGAACCAAGTGCAAAAGAAAAAGGAAGTCATTTAAAACTAGCAGCCAGGAAAAAAAATCTTTTCCATGGGATTTGCCAGAAAATTCCAGAAATGGTGCTAAGGTTCTTGTCCACACAGCATGTTTAATTAAGTTTTTTCCTGGGGGGGAGGGGAAGGTAGAAAATGTCAACACAAAGGAGCTCCTGTCCTCAGGTCGGCCAGGGTCCAACGTGTGTGCAGGAGGAGAGGGGGTATCACTCAGTCAGAGCCCAGGGAGGCCCAGCCGGGATGTCAGTGCTTCGGGTCCCGGGAGGGACCATCTCTGGATTCTCCAGGGAAATGTAAGGGAAAGAATTAAGGCCCCTTAAGAGGAATCTGATGTCGTGGAAAAGCACACTCCCCAGTAAGTCAGGAATAGAAAGGAATTTTTTCAAGCTGACAAAGGGTTTCTATGTTTGGTGGCAGAACATTAGAAGCTTGCTTATTAACAATGGGAACAAGACAAAAATGTACACTGTAACCAGTGTTTCCTACACTGTTTTAGTCCAAGCCAATGTGATAACTCAAGAAAAAGAAATAAGTGTAAAGGTCACTCACAAGTAGAGTTCAGTCAAGTAGCTAGATAAAAAAATTAACACATAAAAACCGACAGTTTTCCTATCCACTAGCAATACAAATTCAGTCAATGTAATGGGGACACAGGGCCTCATTTGTAACAGCAACAAACCTTTCAATGCAAGGTTTACATAAAGAAAACCACAGAATTTGACTGATGAGCATAAAAGACTTAAGTAGAGACACAGTATTTCTGGATGGGAGAACTGAATGTTGTCCAGATGCCAATTTAGCTAAGATGAACCTACCAATGCAGTGCATTCTAAGTCAAAGTACTCGTAGGAGTCTCCTCCAGAGAACTCAACAAGCCGATTCTATAAGTTCACATGTGAGAAAAAATGCTCATGGATACAAAGGCATTTTTTGCAAAAGAGAGCAGCAATGAAAGGGGATTTTTACTTTTTCCCACGTAAAACGTTATTCCAAGGCCGAAATAACGAAAATACTGTAATTCTGCTGCAGGACTAGACAACCGCCAGCAGGGGCAGAAGAGAGGAACCGGCTGCACCGTCACGCACGTAACAGGAGAAGTACAATAAAGGTGGGGTTTCGAACGAGCTGAAAAAGTGCATCATTCCATTAATGGTGAGAACAATAGATTTTCCTCTTACAGAGAGAAGTAACAGATGGGAGAAAATATCTGCCATGCCCTTCAGAACAAAGATTATTATTGAATATATAAAGAGCATCTACAAGGAAAACTAAGCAGCAATACGAGCAAAAGACAATTTCCAGAGGAAGTATAGATGACCCCAAAAGGCATCAGGGAAATACAGTTTAGAAAAATATATTTCTCTTTGTCACATTAGCAAAGACTGAAAAAAATCATGAGTGTGAGGACATGGGCATTCTCACACACTGCTGGTGAGTAAAATTCTTTCTGGAAGGCAACTTTGGAAATACTTACAAAAGTGTAGTCTGAACATACTCCCTGACATGCAAACTCCACTTCTAAAAGCTACCCCACAGAAATGCTCACACATGTTCCTGAAAGTGTATATATCAAATATATTCAGCACTGTATTACATACAATAGTAAATGATAAAGAAACAGAAAACAACCTAAATAAGGAAGTGCTTAGATAAAACACTGACTTTATGTAGCCATTAAAAGAATGAAATAAATGTTATACCCTTGCATGGACAGAGTTCAAACTGATATGCCTAAGAGAAAAAGTCAGACAAGGAATGTCTATGGCACAGTCACATAAAGAGTAGTCAAGTCTGACTCCATTCGGTCTGGTGTCCGCAGCACGTGGTCTTGTGATGCTGGGAGTCTCTCGGACCATCAGCTTCCACGTCCATATAAGGGGTAGAATTGCACTTACCTCATGGAGCTGAGGAGTGAATAGCATATTGCCTAGCACCCTCTCCACAGGCCTATGACTCAGGTACTATTATTATCACTTGTGTCAGAGAGAACACACATGTGTATGTATGTCAATTGTATACTTGTGCCTTGCATGGAGGGGCAACAGGAGAACCCACACCTGTCAGCTTGGTGCAAATCCCAACAATGTCCTCTGGGTGCATCTGTAACGTTTTGATCCTTTACAACAAGGATGTAGTTTTGTGTTACTGCGTAGTAAGAAAATAAAGACCAGGAGGAAGAAAAGTCCACATCTCTTGGAGTGATGACATTGTGTTTGAGTTTTAACGCCTGCTCTAGAATTACGATCCTCAACAAATAACCTCTTGGGACCTGGATTGCAAAGTAGAGATGATGATGTTGATAATAACAGTTGGCCAAAAAGTTTGTGTGATTTTTTTCCCCGTAACATAAAAGACCTATTTTTCATTCTCACCAATAGCTTTATGGATTTGAATATTTTGAGTATGTTGGTTATCTTCCACGTGGTATAACATGGACTGTTCTCAACCAAAGTCTCGACTTGATCGCTATCAACTCCAGCTGGTCTGCCTGACCGTGGAGCATCATCCAGTGAGAAAGCTCCAGTACAAAACTTCACAAACCACTTTTGACATGTTCAAGCAGTCATAGCACCTTTTCCATACACTGCACAAATCTCTTCTTTTTTCGTGTTTCAGTCGCGTTCTTACCTTTCTTGAAACAATAAAGCATAACATGCCAAAAATGTCACTTATTTTTTTCCACCTTCAATATTAAAATGGGTACATAAAAATTTACCAATTTTAATAAGTATTTTTAAATGAACACTGATATAACAGCTGTCACAATACAACCTAACAAAAATTGTTTCAAATGAAGTTAAAGACAAATGAGTGCTACTGGAACCATGTTATAGGGCGGAAAAAAACCCAAAAGAACTCTTTGGCCAACCCAGTGAACATTTTACCATGATTATTCTGTGTCAGTCACTGTTCTACATACTTTATAAATATTTAGCCACTTGTTTCATAATAACCTAATGAAGTAGGAACTACTGTTCTCTACTTTACAGATGAGGAAACTAAGGCTTGGGGAGATTTAGCCCCTTGTCTATAACCAGGATGGGTGGGCCCAGGATGCAAACCCAGGCAGTCTGGCCCTGAAAGGCATGTTTTTAGCTAGTACCACAACTAATAACCACACAGAACTCAACCACTATGCCTGCCTCCCAGTGATGTCGTCAGGGTAAATGATCAAACAGCATTTTGAAAACGGTGTGACATATCGCAAATAATAATAGGAATAGGAATAACAGCACAACTGCCCTCTGCACAGAGGTGGCACAGGGGCCGTTCACATGAAGGCTTGTTTGTGTGGTTTAGGATGCTGACGACGGTCCCTCTGGATGTCACCCTTTCCCAGTGACAGGCACAGAGAGTAACTGTGTTGTAGGAACTGTCAGACAAGATGGATGGAAGACACATCAAGGCCCCATGTGACAGGGCTTTGCTCGATAAATCGGTAGCAAAGACACTGCTAAGAAACAACACCAAGGGCATCAGTCTTGACCTGTGCACCTGCTTCATCCCATGACGCTGAACGTGTCAAGATGTCCAGTGAGCCACAATCACGGCACAGTTTCACGACCAGTCCAATGCCTCTGTTTCTGTAACAGTGCGGGTCTGCGGGGCCACATGGTCAGGTCCTCAAAAATAAAGGAGCCCTCCCCTTGCATGTGTGAGCCAGCCTCCCCCACGCCGCTCCCCTGGTTTCATTTCTGTTTACACAGGCTCCCACGACTGTTCACAGACAAGCCTTGCGCGTGGGGCCAGAAAATGCATCAGAGCTGAACACAGACATGGGGTCATATGCAAAGTGGGTAAAAATTATTTAAATGGAAGTCATTCTTAGAAGAAGGAAAAGTGTTTCAGATTATGAGCAAAAGAAAAGACGAAATGGTGCCATGTGAGAACAGAAATGAGCACGCAACCCG